AGATAGATAGATAGATAGATAGATAGATAGAGATAGGGAGAGAGAGGGAGATAGATAGATAGATAGATAGATAGATAGATAGATAGATAGATAGAGAGAGGAAGATAGATAGATAGATGGATAGATATATAGATGGATAGATAGATAGATAGAGGGAGGGAGAGAGAGGGAGATAGATAGATAGATAGATAGATAGATAGATAGATAGATAGAGATAGATAGATAGATAGATAGATAGATAGATAGATAGATAGATAGATAGAGGGAGATAGATAGATAGATAGAGAGGGAGAGAGAGGGAGATAGATAGATAGATAGATAGATAGATAGATAGATAGATAGATAGATAGATAGATAGAGGGAGATAGATAGATAGATAGATAGATAGATAGATAGATAGATAGATAGATAGATAGAGATAGGGAGAGAGAGGGAGATAGATAGATAGATAGATAGATAGAGAGAGGGAGATAGATAGATAGATAGATGGATAGATATATAGATGGATAGATAGATAGATAGATAGATAGATAGATAGAGGGAGATAGATAGATAGATAGATAGATAGAGGGAGAGAGAGGGAGATAGATAGATAGATAGATAGAGAGAGGGAGAGAGAGGGAGATAGATAGATAGATAGATAGATAGATAGATAGAGATTTATCAATCCCTAAACATGAGATGAAGCTGTCTCTGTGAAATAATGGTCAGCTGGCCTCCGATGGGCTGGCTAACCATTCTGCCATTACATGAGGGATGGAGACATATCGTTCATTTCTGTTTCTAAATGTAGTCATTGTATTCAACGCTAGGATGCCTGTGAGCTGTTCCCTCATTCTGTTAGTCACTGCTTTCTGCCACACAGTGAGACAGTGGAAATTTCCATCCTCCTGATAAGGAGAGGAGGGGGTGTTTAGGAAAGCTGATTCTCAATCCTTGTGACTTAACATTCTGTTCTAACAATGTAAATGATTCTCATTCTACAGATAGAGTCAATGACATTGTTTCTGTATCATCGATGGCAGATTCATTTGAAATTTGAGAAACCTATGCGTCTTATATATGAACACATTTAATGAAGAATGCTTCTTTTTTTTTTTTTTAAACAATGGCATATAGGACAAAAGGGCATGTTTTAAAGTTGGAGGGTGCATGAACTGGCACATAATAAGTGAAAGGGTTACTTCCCATAAATTGCATTTTTTTAACTAAATCACAACCAGGGAGGACTGACAAAGGAATTGCAAATTCGTGTTCAAAATAGCCAAAATATAAAAAGTCGCCAAAATCTCTGGCTCTTTTATTCTAGCCTGGGGTGTTGCTTGTCGGACTTCCAGAATCCCACATTTAGAAACATAGAAACATAGAATGTGACGGCAGATAAGAACCATTCGGCCCATCTAGTCTGCCCAATTTTCTAAAAACTTTCATTAGTCAACAATATTTAGTAAACAATATCCCAGAGAGCAAATGATACCTGCAATGATCAAACCAATGTTAGATGCCCGAAAGGATACTTACGAATAACTCTATGGTTAATCAGAAAAAGCTATTTGGCTTACAGTACAAAAAGATTGGTTTACATTCACAAACGTGTTTTAGTGATGTTTTGGTACCCCACAGAAGTAAATATTGTCATTCTGTGCATAGTTCATTATTTTGGGTAATTTGACCAAATATTCCTACATTTAGAACACCAAAGGTCTCACTACCAACATTCTACTAAAACAAGCAGCAGTTCTCCTGTGACATATCACGTGATGTTATAGAGAGGAATATTTTCATATTGGTATATACATATTTCTTCAGGCAGGGAGTTCGCATTGAAAGCAGTTTACCAAACCTGCAGTTGCTTTTGGGTGTAATATTGAATTAAAAGGGGGACATCTGTAAATCACCAAAAGTGGCACTCTTTGGCCAAGACACCACTGCCATGTTTGTAATATATTTAGTGCTGTATTTGAATTGGACTTGTGTTCTTTCGGCTTATATTAACTGGATTAATAACATATAAATTTAACCACAGCCTCCTAAACATTCTTTAGTGGCATTTTTTAACTAAATCACAACCAGGAAGGACGGACAAAGGAATTGCAAATTCGTGTTCAAAATAGCCAAAATGTAAAAAGTCGCCAAAATCTCTGGCTCTTTTATTCTAGCCTTATCGAAGCATACATGTTCCTTCTTATATGTATGGTATTCGTCTAAAGCATTTTTCTATCAAGGAGATCTTCTAAATGCCTTTCTCTACTTATATTGTTCTCTTGTTTTTTTGCTAAGTTTCGGGCTACAGATGGAAGTCATATGACTAGCAGAGAGACAGAAAATGTTGGCATTGGTGTTGATTCAAAAATTAATATGAGATGGGAAGGAGTAATCTGTGCTATATTAGGGTTTAAGTCTGCATATATTTAAAGTCTATTTTTAACTGAAAGGAGTAGATATTTTGGAAACTATCTAATAGTAACACAGTTTTAAATAGTAACACTTAAAATAGACATTTTAGATTGGAGTTTAAGATCCTTTTATAGAGACTATAAAGAGACTAGATGAAAATGATACAGTTACAAAAATGTGAGAAAAAAAATAATCTTGCTCAACTCCAATGTCCTTCAGCTAGTCCTATTTCTCCCATTAAGTTTAAGAGATATTCCCACAATCCTCTGCTGTCCAGTCAAATGATGCTGTATTAACCTGTACACTGATATGAAAGTTGTCATACTGGGTTTCCAACACCCATGTAGCCATGCTTGACCAAAAGCAACAGTCTGTGCCTATAGAAAAGGTAAAGGAAAAATACAAGAAATGAAGTCTACAGAGAGAGGGGAAAGGCTTGGAGATGTAAGAAGGAACGTACTAAGCACAGACTGAGGGAAACAGAGAACAGAGATTGGGAAATAAAGGCGCAATAAGGTGGTTAAAATGGCCTGGCAGAAAACAAGGGGTGAAAGGCAGACCGAATGTGAAGTACATAATAATGTGAGGAGAGGAGGTGAAAGTGACTGGTTGCATTGGAAATATGTCATAAAATGATTGTGAAGACGGAAAAGGAAGGCAGAAAGGGGAATGGGAAAGAAATGGGTGTAGGGACCCATGAGAACAGAAACCCTGGAGAGATAGAGATGGAGAAAATACTGATGAAAGAAAGCAATAAATAAATAAAAGTAGCATATTACTTTTTTTCCAATCTTTATTTTTGTAAACGTTTACATATACACAATTAGCAGACATACATAAATAACAGTAAGGGCGGCCAACTGAGCTAATATAAGGAGGTATTACCCTATTACACTGTGATACAAGCTCCAAGAGATTACACTGTTAGGGACCTGCGTGTCCTGAAATGACGCCAATTATCTAAGTTTTATGTTGGAAAAAAAAAATAATCTACACAAAAAAGGGTAGAGAACCTGTAGGTGTCGAGTATCACACACTGCAGGCTATAAGGACAGTAATATGGCACCAGAGAGAGAGAGAGACAATATAAATATAGAGATTGTAACATATAACGAGAGAGAGGAAGGAAATAGAACGTATAGCAAGAAGAGGACGAGAAGGGAAAAGAAAGGAAGAGGTAAATGGGGTCAGCACAGATATAAATTGGGTTGTCGTGCCCTCCATTATATGTTGGATGAGACATAATGGATTAATATTATGGGACAGAGACTGGGCCTTTTGTTGTCTATTTGCTACAACAGCTGCCTCCATCTCTGGCCTGTAACCAATGTCACTATGTGAGTGGCCCCTCCACCTACATCCATGCCTTTTCCCGGTAGTAATTCAATTAAATACTGTTATGTGACATAGAAACATAGAATGTGACGGCAGATAAGAACCATTCGGCCCATCTAGTCTGCCCAATTTTCTAAATACTTTCATTAGTCCCTGGCCTTATCTTATAGCTAGGATAGCCCTATGCCTATCCCATGCATGCTTAAACTCCTTTACTGTGTTAACCTCTACCACTTCAGCTGGAAGGCTATTCCATGCATCCACTACCCTCTCAGTAAAGTAATACTTCCTGATATTATTTTTAAACCTTTGCCCCTCTAATTTAAGACTATGTCCTCTTGCTGTGGTAGTTCTCCTTCTTTTAAATATAGTCTCCTCCTTTACTGTGCTGATTCCCTTTATGTATTTAAATGAACAATGAAGCCCTTGATTAGTTGCATCAGGTGTGCTTGAGATAATAACTGTTTTTTTGTGCTTTTGTGAGGGATTCTTTTTAGTGGGATGAATAATTTGGAGACTGGAGAAGTCATAAGTTGCATTTTCTGTTGAATTTGGGGAAACCATTTGTTGTGTTGTGCTATTTCAATTGCATTTGTTTGGTTTGTTCATTGCAAATGGCTGAAAGTCTGTAATAAACCTGTTTTTCGATGGAGGTTTTATACTTTCGATTACTACTGTATCTGTGGGAAGAATGTGAGTGCTTTTTATATGGACGTTTTCACTATCCATTTTATATATGCTGGTGGAGAGGGTTTTACATATGCCCAAAATGTTTCGTTAATATAAGCACATGAAAATAATTGAAATTTGAAGATAGTTTTATATAAATGCCTGTGGTGCTTTTCGTTTAAAATGTAACAGCATATTTTTCAAACTCAGTTCGATTAAGCCATTAATTCAGTATTTAAAGGCACAGCCGAAGGCAATGATGAGGTTATTAGTCTTAGGAGATAATCCACTGAATTGCCCATCTTTATAGGGACACTCCAAGCTGTAGTCAGGCAACTTATTTAACACGTTAGAGAGGTCATTCATAAAAAAGGTACAAAAAAAAGTATTCACCTTTGAATTACCTGGCCTTAATGGGCCAGAATGTGATTTGTTCATAGGGAGCACTATCCCATAAAACCTTGTAGCGTGGAAACACCTTCAATGGTTTTTGTAATCTTGCACATACATGTTTCCTAGCCAAAGCGAGCATTGTTGGGAATTCAAAGTGAGGCCTAAATAGCCGAATTGAAAAAATCCTTTAAGTCAAATATGCTTCCAGTTTATTCACTTTGGCCTTAAATTTAAAATTCTCTCTAAATTCCAGACAATTCTCACTTTAGTGAATAAGTCTCATAGATTCCCATATCCTGTGATTTAAGCTAGTTACCCACACAACGCTCATGGAGCCTTATTAATATGTTAAACCTGGCCTGGCTTTGGCTTTATCCTATTTTAATCATTTAGTAAAAAGGAGAATTTGGTTAATCATTAGTGAATATATGGAAAAGTGAATATGTGCTTCAGAGCACACTTTCAACAATGAATGAATGGTTACAACCGAATAAAAAATAATTGTCAGCATTTAACCGAGATAGATGTTAAATGCACATGAAAGTGCTACAATCATTTAGAAATAGCCATGCACTTTATATTGTACAAAAATAAAACTACAGACAAAAACCACTTACAAATGAATGGAAGGCAGTGATTTCTGGCATTAATTTTTGCAGGTTGCTCTCAATAGGTTTTTTTTTGTTTTTTTTATCAATGAATGAAATGCTGCCTAGAATTTGTTCAGCGGTGCGATCAAGGATTGGCCTGGCTACTAAGCTTCAGAAACTGCCAATGCACCTTGGTCAGATCCTGAACCTATAAAACATAAGCCTTTTTTTTCCATTTAAAATGCACTATATGAATAATGAAATGAAAAAGAATTCTAATGCAATTATTGTTATGTCCCTTTAAGATTTTTTTCCCAGTTGATATTAAGTTGTTAAAATGCCAAAGCAATAAGCAACATCAAAGGAATAACATAATAACACAGTTACAACTTCCTTATTATGTGAAGCAAGCCATTTACCTGCCTCCATTTGAATTACTTGGAATTCTAGTTGTGAAATAATGTCAAACATCTCTTCAACTTCCTTATTTAATTTGGACAGGAAAAAATCCATTAGTGTAAAGTAGTAATGGCCTTCTCAGGACCTCCTAACTTTTAAACACTGAATTCATATTTTTTCTCCAAACTTTGTAGAAAATGTTGAGGTTGTTTAGAGGAAACATCATTTATTTCAAAGCAATCTCTGAAATTAATTTAAGCTCCAAATTGGAAGCCATTGAAAATTACTGTAAGTGGCCCTGTAAGGAGCTCAGAAAATGCATATTACAAATTAGTCTTTGAATATGTTGCCTCCATGAAGCATAAGGAAACAACGTGGGTTCCGTGTATGTTAGTATATCCACAGAAGGAGTCTCTGGGTATCCACATGTCCCTCACTGTGCCAGAAAACCATGTCTTAGATATGCATTGATATTTTGAACTGTGCCTCGTAAACAGTCCCAGAAGACTTCCAGTTGCCCAGAATATAGATTTTATGAAAATAGTATGACAATCTTTAAATCATAGAGGTCTTTGCCAACTGTAATTCTTCAAAGGTGTGCATGAGTGGTTTTGGAAGCAATGTTTAAGACCTCATTAGCGGAGTCATAACAAAACACAATGAAGGTATGACCCGTGAAATCTGAAGACCATTGGTTCTCTCCAGGAGAACCCACAAGCCCCCACATTACTTCAGTATTTAGACACCTGGTGTCAACCCTAAAGTTAGCACTAGTTAACAGAACGTTACAGATGGTCTGAGAAACTCTTGCCTAGAAAACTTTTCTTCAGTCATAAGTCAATACTTTATGAACTTGAAGAAACACTCCAAGCACCATAACCATATTAGATAGTTTATGGTGCCAGGAGTTCCAGGATACCTCTTCCCAATTGTAGATAAAAACATTTTTGAATGGTTTGACTTACCTGTGTGCTGCAGGCGTCACTCCCCATCTCCAATACTACTGCCAGAGAACTGGAAGCATACCAAGTGTTCCTTTGAGCACTTTTTTTTTATCTTTTATAACCTAGATTACTATGTAACAGTAAAAGATGATTATTATTTTTTTTTTGCAGCCGACATAATTTTTTAAAGTGCTAAAATATTCTATTACCTTGTTTTCACTTTAGGCTTCCTTAGAATGTTGGTGTGGAGTATATCTGGAGAAGCATATACACAGATATATCCTTATAGCGTTATGACTTTTATGTCTCCTTGTTCCTTTAATTCTACCAGCAGGGCCCTCATTACATATACTGTTCAAGATATAATTTCTTTTTTTATTCAATGTATTTTTATTGAAGAATATCAAACGCATGGATTCACAGGAACTTGGCAAATATAGACATGAGCAGACATATCACCCTGTACTTGCTGAACACAGTATTTACATTATAACAGCATAATGGGTTTCGGCTATTTGCAAATAGTCAATATAACTGTTCCTATTGATGAATAGATGATGCCTTTCCATACATGTTTATTAGACTGGTATTTCCCAAGCAGACGCTTATAATAAGAGTGAATGGTAAACAGTACTGACTCCTGACCAGCTACTGTCTGATTGCAAAACCTTCCACTGAATACAAGTGAGAATTGCTCAGGGGTACACTCGGGCTCATATGTTCCCCCGAAATGTTGTTCTTCGCACCTGTTTCCAGAGTTAGGGGACTGTTTTGCCCAATAAGTGCATAGCTAGCCATGTACCAATAAGACAGAAAAGAGAAGAACTGAAAAATCTTACATAATAAGAAAACAATATAATACAGTTAGGAGCATACAATGTTATAAACTCTATTCCCATACTTATGTGTGTCAATTTGGTAGGAGTAACCAACGAAAATATTAATATGCTCGTTGCCCATGCAGGTCTCCTGCCCAACTGTGTCTCATAACGGAGGTGTGGGTGTCTACTATGTACTTTGTCATACAGTTTAGTTGCACGTAGTCCACTCAACACTTGTGAAATTAAAAAGTAAAAGGTACAGAGTAAAAAGTAGAGTGTAATGCAAAGGGTCACGTTCCTTAGCTAGCTACAACCAAGTTCCCTTTGATTCCCATTCCTACTCCCCCATGGAGAACCCTAAGTAGTTCTCCCATTTCTTGGTAAAATATGGGAACCCCTGATGAAGATGGGGCTGAATTATTTTAAGACATCGTGAAGATGACTTAGCAACCGCTGAGGAGCCTGAGCATAACCTTTCAAACTCTGTATGTGCCCTGAGAGCCCCCTCTGGGATGTCCAAGGTTTTGATGAAGTGTGAATCCTGGAAAAATTGGAATGCCTGTGCTAGAGGCTTACTGTTTGTCATATCTGATAGAGGTCAAAGCCCGTCCGGTCCCCACAGACTGTCTAGTGGTAAATATGGTGTGTTCTCTAAATGTGTTGTCAGGGGTAGTATAAGGCCTTTTAACCCTACTGGGAACAAGGTGTTGTGGGAGATGGGATATCTCAGTGAAATCATGGGAGAGATCTCAGGCAAGTAGGCTATTTTGGACCACACTGAAAGTGTTGCTGAAATGGTTGGATGCTGTGGAATTGGGTACTCCCTGGACCCTGAAACTGCCCAAGGGAGGGCCTGTAGAGGGGTATGAGAGGCATCTTGCTCAATGTAAATCCAAAGTTTGGAGGGGGGTTGTATAGACCAGTCTAGAATTCTGTTTATATGTACTGCGTAATGGTAGTGGAGGATGTTGGGAAGTCCCAAGTCTCCCCTGTGTTTAGGACAGGTGATGACACGATAAGCCAAACGCGTTCTTTTCCCTGCCCAGATGAACCATGTAAATTGTGTTTGAATGGTTTTAAAGAAAAACCCGGGAAGACATATTGGTATTGTGTTAAAGAGATACAGGATGCGGAGGAGTATGTTCATTGATAAAGCACTGACCCTTCCCATCCATCTAAGAGTGTGTTTATCCCATGTCTGTAGGTCTGCCTGTATGGCGCTCAGCAGGTGGGAAAAAATCAATGGGTATAACGCGCTATGGTTAGTTGGGATGTTTACACCCAGATATTTTATCTATGTAGGGGCCCACTGGAACTGAAACTCCCTTCGGAGCCGTTCCACTTCCCCCTGTTGTACCGTGAGATCAAGTATTTGGCATTTCTCTGTGTTAATCTTAAAATTAGCCATGGAGCTATATTTGGTCATTTTGTTCACTAATTCTGGAAGAGTGGTAACCGGATTAGTGAGTGTAAAGAGAAAATCATCCGGGAAAGCGGAACCCTTGAATTCCCATTCAATGAGACAGCCACTAGAGGAAATAAGGGAAGGCTTAACCCATTCACAAACATAGCAGTTTCTCTGAAACTGCTATGTTTATGAAAAAATGGGTTAACCCTAGAAGGACCTGGCACCCAGACTGGTCCTTTAAGCGTAATGCTAGCATCTTAGTAAACAATTTCATGTCCACATTTATGATGGAAATGGAATGGAAACTGTCACAGGGTCTTTTCTCAGCTTTGGGATCAAGGTGATGGTGGCTCCCAGACTGGCAAGGGGCATGGTAATGGAAGGGGATATTGAGTTTAGGGAGTCCAAAAAGTGGGGTGCCAATTCTTGTGCAAATGTGTTATAGTATGCACAAGAAAAAACATCCGGTCCAGGGCTTTATTTGAGGGGGTAGTGTTTATTACCTTTGTCAGTTCCTCCAAGATAAAGGGATTGTCTAAGGCCTGGGCCTCCACCTGGGACAACTTAAAATCCAAGCAACGTTCCAGGTAGATCCTCATGTCCTCCTTGGTCGGGGGAGAATGCTGCAGATTGTAAAGGGAGCTATAAAATACCTCAATGTTTCAGCAATGTTTTCGGCCATATGGGTGGTCATTCCGTCTGTCCTTTTGATTTTTGGAATATAGGTGCGTTGTGGTTGGGTTTTTAGTGCAGAGGCCAGTAAGTTCAAGGTATAATTTCATATGGTTGTACAGCGTCCAGTTGATGTCTAAATTTATAATTTCTTTTGAAACTCCCCCGCTGTTGCTAAGTTGACATCAAAATAGTTTCAGAGTGAAGTGAGAGACTTGCCACAACATGTACCTCCTTTAGTCACTTCCTTTGGAAAAAAACCCTGTTTCACAGAGATAAGCTGGTAAAGTGTGCACAAAATCTACTTAGGGAACACGGATGATGCCTTATTAGTGAAGCAGTAGAAAAGCTGAATATTATCAGGTGCCAGTTTGATTGTTCACAGCCACTTACCTGTTCAGGTCAACCTCAGGGGCAACAACATCTCTAGATTAAAGTACACGTATTATCACTGATCTTTTGTGTAGTAATGAATACAGTAAAAAAAACACAAGTATAAATTGATGTCATGTCTTCTTACATACACATACAGAACAGCCTCGTTGGACTCCTGAATTTCTGGGCCTGGTCTCAGCAATATATTTTATTGGTTTGTCATTGTTACTGATACTACTATACACAGTTCAGGACTAGAACTTTGCTATGTTTGCTTAAATTTGATTTCACAAGTGTAGATGAGCAATACATCTGAAGGATATGTGGTGTCCCAGGCTTGCACGACCAAGTGAATTCCCCCTCAACTCAAAGTATATTTCCCCCACTCTTTATTGAGCTGTGATTATGTCTAATGCGGGGCTTGACAAATTTGACTTGAATCTAGGAGCCAGCTAAAAAAAAAAAAAAAAGTTATGAGCCAGATTTTAAAATACAATTCTTAAAGGTACACTGTAGCACCAGGACCACTACAGCTTAATATAGTGGTTCTGGTGTCTATAGTCTGCTCCTGCAGACTTTTCAATGTAAACACAGCCTTTTCAAGGAAAAGGCAGTGTTTACATTGCTTCCTAGGGACAGTCACTCAGACTGTCACTAGAGGTGCTTCCTGTGTCAGGAGGTGCTGAACGTTCCCCATAGAGCTGCATTGATTCAATGCATCTATGAGGAGATGCTGATTGGTGGAGCGTTTTGCAGCCAATCATATGGCAAACCACTGGATTGGCTGAGATAATCAAGCTTGATAATCTCAGCCATAGAAGCAGGGCCAGTCGAGGGGAGACCAGCACGGCGTAAAAAAAAAGTGAGTAAAAATGCCACACACACACCATGACAAACAAACACACTAACACATTTATTTTGTAGAAAGGCGGCATGCTGGAGGAGGGGGTCGTGGAGGCGGGCAGCTACTTGGGTTGCCGTGGAGGTGGGCGGCATGCAGGGGGAATTTGTAGGAAGGCGGGTGGCTAGCTGCACATATTGTTGCTGGCTCTGCTCCCCCGCATGCTGCTTATTGAGATCGGGACCAGGATAATACTCCATAGCCACCAGTCTCACTAAGCGGCGCGCGGGGGCGAAGAGCAGGGACATCAAAGCTAACTCGCGGCCAGCGACAATACGCGCAGCAAGCCGCCTCCATGACCACCCAGCTACCCGCCCACCTCCACAACCACCCCAGCATGCCGCCTTCCTACAAAATCCCCTACTTTGTCACTGACTGCCCGCTTTGAAATCAAGGGGCTCACATATTCCAGACGCCAAGGCAAAATTCCTAGGCGACCTGGCACCTGGGATTTGTCGAGCCCTGGTCTAATGCCACCAACAAACCATAATATTTGTCTCCCTTCTCGTAGCTCAATGGCTCTTCAGACTCATTTCAGCTCATTCTGATCTCATTCAGTGATATCAGGTGCAACTCATAAGCCCTACTTCGATCAGCCACACAGAAGATATTTCACAGGATATAGGTTACAGAAGATATGTAACCTTCACTCAACTCTTTGTGTCTTTTCTCTTTGTTCAACTCTACCAATCAGCCATAACTCAAGTCACTGTCTCAAGGAGGTATATTTTGTATGTATCTAAAAACAGAATGTCAGGACATTTAAACATGTGACAGTGTGACCAGCAGCTTATTGGAAAAAAACAAAGTTGCTGTAGCTTCTCTACCCCCAACTCTCTAGGTCAGCACACGATTTTGGTGTTTCGGTGCTTATATGGCATTGCCAGTAGCCCATTACCCCATTCCCCTTAAGATATAAAATAAAAGTGTTTTAAAACGTACAAGTAATGCAGTGCTGGGAGCTTCGTCAAAACATTTTCATAATATTTTTTTTTTCCTATACAGGGAAAAAGAACAGTTAAATTTTTTTGTATAATTAAATAAATAGAAAGATATAATTCTGAAACGTGAGCACCTTTATAAATGTACATTTATTAAACAAAATAACACATTTTTTATTTGGCTACATTATTCACATTCTACGATATACTATCATTTCCTCCTGCGCTTGAATTTAGCTTCGATGTCAACTGGAAGAATTCCCGGACACTGTGCCTCTTGTGTTTTTGGCTCTTGTTTCAAAACAGTAGGTCTGATAACATCAATGTCCCGAGATAAATGATCCAACATACTTGGGATGATATCAGGAGAGGAATAGAAATCTACCAAAAAGTATCTGGAATAGAAAATTGTATATTTATAAATCTGTACAAAAATACAACTTTAGAAGAGATGAATTATTTTCTGTATTAATTATTATTGCATCTTATTGTGTAAAGGTTTACATTGTTATTTTAAAAATCTTCACTAAAAATATTTGAATAAGACCATCAGTACAGGTATTTATCGATATGGTCACTCATGACTTTTTTGCTTCTGCTTAAGCCTCAAGTGTGGCTACATCATCAAGTAGTTGTGCTACCAGGAACTATTTTGTGGTGCTCTGAGGGCATCAAATTTTGCTTAAGATGTGTGTGAACAAGGGGATAAACTGGACTAAAAACTGGCAGGTTCCGCCTCAAGTTCTCTGTGACATCCATTAAAGGCTTAAGGACTTCCACTAATTGCTCAATCTTTGGACTCCCAATCCCAATGAACTGATAGGATGCCAAAGTTTGGATAGCCTAGAGGTGGACTTAGTGTTTACAATGCCCAGCCTACAAGGACAGGCTTTATGCCCCAGAACCACTAAATTAAGTTTTAGTGGTTCTGGTAATTATAGTGTCCTTTTAGCAGTGGCACTCAATGCACAAACACTGAAGAAAACAGAGATTTATCAAAGTGATCTGAAAAATGTCTTGTTTTTGGTCTATAATTTGTTTGCCTTTATTAAAGAGTTTTAAAAATGGTCCAAAACTGACGTCTGTTGTCATTTTAAATTACACATTTGCTGTGCCCCATTATTCTGCCATTTGCGATTTTCCTGCGTTTGTTCCAAGTTTTTGTATTTTACCGGTTTGTGTGGGCAACAAGCAACTTTGAGGTGCTCCTCTCAATATTTGCTATTAGTTTAAAAAAATAAAATTCTATTTTATTTTCTAATGAGCTATTTGAATAGTGTAAGTAATCAATGAATTCTGCTAATTTCTAATAGGTGCTGTTATAAGACGTAGGTGTACAGAAAGAAATCCTGCCTAAGCCCTACAGTAAAGGAAAAGATTGTACAGCAAATGCTGATACCAATCGTTGATTATGGGGATGTAGTATATGCACCTGCACCGCAAACCCACCTTAATAAACTCAATACATTGTATAACTCGTTCTGCCGATTTGTGCTACAATGTAATTACAGGACCCACCATTGTGACATGCTAAAAGAACTAAACTGGCTGTCGCTGGAATCCAGACGCACCCTTCATCTTTCCAGCCTTGTGTTTAAGAGCTTTTCTGGGAAGCTCCCACCCTACCTGAACAAAATGCTCTCCCCGGCTGTTCCCACCTCCTATAACCTCCGATCCAGTACCAGCACTTTATTTAGTCTACCTCAATACAAAAAGAAACCAGCTAGATCCTCCTTCTCCTACAGAGCGCTGCAATTATGGAACCTCCTCCCGCACACTTTCAAATCTTCCCCAGGTCTAAAGTCCTTTAAGAGATCCCTCTCTACATATTTCAAAACAGAATGCTCGTGTCATGGTTGATTATATATTTCCTACCTGTTAAATTTTGTATATATTGTTTATTAATATTGTTTTTGTATTTTATTGTACCCTAATGTAACAATGCAATGATTTGTGGACCCAGGACATACTTGAAAACGAGAGAAATCTCAATGTATCCATCCTGGTAAAATATTTTATAAATAAATAAAAGCACTAAATTGACGTTAAAAAAATAAATATATAAACCTTTTTTAAAAGACTGCATTTATGACAGGAAAAGTGCAAAGAATATTGATAAAACTCTGCTCTGGTGTAGTCAAAAACATAATTAACATAATGGACATAATTAAAAATGACAGGGCACAAAACATTAAATTATACACATATATTACATAGGTAGACTGACATGAGAGATATATTATATGAGGTGGTAACATTAATTTGTCAGAAAGTAGCAATCGCAGATTATTTTGGCTGGCAACGAAAAGCTGCAAACTGGGGCAAAATTCATTTTTTTTTTGTAAGTAGTGAATCGGATAAGTTATAGTAATTCCTGCATATTTACCAACCTACCACAGAGGCTACTGATAGTTTTGGTAGGGCCCCCATTTGAAACACTGCAGTTTGAGGTCCTTTTTAACGCTTTCATGACAAGTTATTAGGCAAATCCCACTATAGCACGGCTTTGTTTGTTTATATCCATCACCAATAAAATTCTGACATGCTCGAGACTTTCCCAATTTGCAGAACGCTCACACTCTAAGGCAGAGTCATCGAGTTCAAGAGGCTGCAGCATTACTAGCCAGCTGTAATACCTTAGTCTGCCTGAAACCCATGCTAGCTGCTCAGAGCTCAGAGGCAGTGGAAAATTCCACTTTGCGGATGGCAAAAGGAGGGGTGAGAAATAAGAGCTCGAGCGCGGTTCGTATGTAACCACACGTTCTCCTTTCTCTGTTTATTTTATAGCTATTCTAACAATGCATTCTCTGTGTCGACACAGAATGAAGAAAAAAAAAAAAGGATTTCACAAAGCCCCTGGTGTAGGTGCGCAATTAAAATATATTCACTTTGAATGACTCTATGCAGACAAGATGCTTAAAAACGGAACAAAATAAAAGGAAAAGATGTCCATTTAAATATATTGCAGATTTTACCAATGATATAAAAACATAGAACATATGGAAGAGCTTGTAAACAAAGGAGGGTGAACCAAGAGGTAACCAATCTCTGGCACGGGGCCTTCACCCACGGTGGGCTCCTTTTGGGATAAAACTGCAAGATAGGACCACACTTATTAACTGCCCTCACCCCCTGCAGTCAATTTATAATGGTGCAAAAAGAGGAGAGGGGGGGTTCACTGATTTGCTTCCATGCTGGAGCACAATGCAATGTTACTTTGCAGTCATTGTTAACCCTTCAAAGGCAATACACTGAAGGAGATAAATGTTAAAATAAATTAGGGTTTGTTGCAAACTCAACCTGTTACTAAATCTGGTAATTCACTCACTGTACAGCATTGCATAATATATTGTCACTTGAAAAAAAACAAAAAAACAACATATATTTAAAAAATATATTTGCCTTGGTAAAAAAGTGGTTAAACCCAAATCGTTTGAGCTGCTACCACTAATCTTTTACCTTCCTACTAGTGTACTTAAAGGACCACTCTAGGCACCCAGACCACTTCAGTTTAATGAAGTGGTCTGGGTGCCAGGTCCAGCTAGGGTTAACCCATTTTTTTATAAACATAGCAGTTTCAGAGAAATTGACAGCCGCAAGAGGTACTTGCGTGATTCTCACTGTGAAAATCTCATTGACAGCACGCAAGCGTCCATAGGAAAGCATTTTAAATGCTTTCCTATGCTACCGGCTGAATGCGCATGCAGCTCTTGCCGCGCGTGCGCATTCAGCCGAAGGGGCGGAGAGGAGGAGGATCATAGGAGGACAGCTCCCCGCCCAGTGCTGGAAAAAGGTAAGTTTTTACCCCTTTCCCACTTCCAGAGCCGGGCGGGAGGGGGACCCTGAGGGTGGGGGCACCCTCAGGGGACTATGGTGCCAGGAAAACGAGTATGTTTTCCTGGCACTATAGTGGTCCTTTAAGAGCATTGGATTAATCCAACACATAGAAACATAGAATGTGACGGCAGATAAGAACCATTCGGCCCATCTAGTCTGCCTAATTTTCGAAATATTTTCATTAGTCCCTCGCCTTATCTTACAATTAGGATAGCCTTATGCCTATCCCACGCATGCTTAAACTCCTTTACTGTGTTAACCTCTACCACTTCAGCTGGAAGGCTATTCCATGCATCCACTACCCACTCAGTAAAGTAATACTTCCTGATATTATTTTTAAACCTTTGCCCCTCGAATTTATGACTATGTCCTCTTGTTGTGGTAGTTGTTCTTCTTTTAAATATAGTCTCCTCCTTTACTGTGTTGATACCCTTTATGTATTTAAATGTTTCTATCATATCGCCCCTGTCTCGTCTTTCCTCCAAGCTATACATGTTAAGATCCTTTAACCTTTCCTGGTAAGTTTTATCCCGCACTCCATGAACCAGTTTAGTAGCCCTTCTTTGAACCCTCTCTAAGGTATCAATATCCTTCTGAAGATACGGTCTCCAGTACTGTGTACAATACTCCAAGTGAGGTCTCACCAGTGTTCTGTACAATGGCATGAGCACTTCCCTCTTTCTACTGCTAATACCTCTCCCTATACAACCAAGCATTCTGCTAGCATTTCCTGCTGCTCTATTACATTGTCTGCCTACCACACAGCCATCGTCCCCCATTGGGATGAAGTTTATCGGGGGATCAGCCTCTATGATCAGTCCACCTCTTACAGAACCAAAGGTTGTCTACCACAAGTTGCATCTTTTCTGTACTATAGTTCTAGCATATTCTGCTGCAGGACTACTGGCCATGTGAGTGAGCAGCTAGTGTCCAAGAGCTATCAGTAGGACCTGCATGGAACAGGGCTATGTATGGAACAGTCATGCCCTTTATGATGTTAATTAAAATGCCCTAAAGATTGACATTTTATTGTGCAATGCCCTAATTCGGTATTGTTTTGGTTGTGTGCCAGACTGCATGCCGAAGATTAATATTTACTTGTACTGACCACTTGAAGTGCATAAGCTAAGAGTGACCTATTTTATGCAGAGCTGTAAAATTCTATTCAGGGAGTCAGATGTGAGATGGCTGAAACTCAGCTCACGTATAGATTAGCAAGCAGCTACGTGCAAGGCAAGTCTGTTCCTTGAATAAAGCAGCGTACCCAGTGACATTGCTCGCTCTACCATCAAATAAAATACTGGAGTCACTTTGTAACACTCCATAAACACCCTGAGCACACACAATCTCAGCAACATTCAATTGTTAGCTACAGAGATGAGCTAAGTTTATTGTCAAGCGTTCAATGAATTAACCAACAGAGATCCTAATTAACTTCTAGTTTTCTTCATAGTGCCGAGGTCATTTCACAGTTTTGAGGGTACGTTATGCTTTACCTATCAATCTCACTGCATCATCTGGCTGACAGTTTTCATCATAAGAAAAAGTCTATAGCAGCAGAATTGGACAAAATTATAAATTGCATCCTTGTGAGAACGTTTCACCTATACTTAAAGGAACACTATAGGGTCAGGAAAACAAACCCTATAATAGTAAAACAATAGTGTTCAGCGCCTCCTTGCAGAGCGCAAACTGCAGCACTGACCTATCTGAGTTACTGTCACTGGGGGTGTCCATTGGTAGCAATGTAAACACCGCAGTTGTTGTTCTGGTGACTATAGTGTTCCTTAAAAGACAATCTCTAGGCACCATACACACACACACACACACACACACACAACAGCTCACAGTTGTGTTTATGGTGCCAGACGTGCCTTGGTGCTTTTTCCCCAGCCCACCCCTGATGTCAGATGTCAAACCATTATTTAAAGGTTTGCCTTCTCACCTGGGGTCCACTAGGCACTGAAGCCTAGCTCCACTAATGCCAGAGAGAACGTATGTTCATGGTTTTGAGCTAAGCCCTGTATTGCATGGTTGAGAGCATCAACTCATTTTAAATAGCAATTTTGGCGTTATTCACATCATTTGCATGACAAGTATGAAAAATGAGAGACCCTAAAAAATAAAATAAAAAAAAAGACATTTTTAGGGAAATTTTCTGAAATATCTGAACAACTGAGCAAACAGCTCAACCATTTAGCCAAATTCCAGGGTAATTGCTCCATATTCAGCACTTAGCCCCAATCTTTCTCTCTACATAAAGCACCAAGCCCTTGATCTATTGATTGTGATAGACGTGTTGCTAGGGGATGCGTGCATCAAAATTTATTTAGCGTTAATTCATTTTGTTTCCCTTTCCCTGCAATTTGCAGAGATGAACAACCACTAAAGTCATTTTCATTAAAAACATACCCTCCTTGTCTGTGAGCCTGGTTGTGCTTTGATATCTTGTACGGAAGGGCCTTTTCTCCCAAGCTTTCCAGGTTACGTACAATTGCTCCTCGCTCCATGAGAGCTTCTATTGTGCGTTTCAACGTAGCAACTGTCTCAGGCTGCAGAGAGGCAAACAGAATAAGAAATATTAGCTGGACCAAAGAATGGACAGGAAATCCAGGGGAAACAAAAAGCCATCGTTGTAAAACACAAGCGATTCTTATATGCACAGTCATTTAACAGGCCACTCAAATACATTAGAAAGAACTCTACTCCATAACCCATTCAGTGCTGAATGTCTAGATAATTATGTTCTTTTCAGCAGACTAAATAGGACATCCCTTGAGTGTTACATGCATTCACCTCATTTTAGATATAAAAAATCAAGATTCACTGGACTCATGAATGTTCACAGAAGCGTTTTAAAAATAAAAGTAATATCAACGATCTCTCAAAAACATTTTTTAAAAAGCTTTATTAAAAGGGTTACTCCAAGCACCATAACCACTTCAGTGATGGTGCGTGAAGTCGCTTTGTGAAATGTTACACATACAGAATTTCAAGGGATACTAAATGGAACCAACCTAACTTCAGCTCATTGAGGGGTGTGGGTTCAGTAATCCTGTCCCTTAGCCCCGCAAAGTAAAACATAACAGTTTTAGAAAAAAACCGCAATGTTTACATTGCACTGCTAAGACTGCTTCTAATGGCTTTCTACCAGAGAGCCTCTATAGGCACTTCCACAATATCATGGAGATTGACTCAATGAAACAACACTGGATGTCCTCACTCTTTGCATGAAGACTTCCAACGTCTTTAGATCCCCCGTAGGAAAGCATTGATTTAATGCTTTCCTATAGGGATTGACTGATTATCGTTTTTGCCGATATTATCAGCCAATATTCTGATTTTTTGTAGATATTGGTATCGGACGATAATCACCGGCAATACGATAATGAATGAGTGGGCCGGTGCGTCCATAAGGCGACAAGCGTCTGCCTTAGGGCGCACCAGCCCAGGGGGTGCTAGATCGGAATGACGGGCAGGAGGTGGGGCCACAGCACTCCCTCCTGCCAGGCACTTTGTGTAGCATGGTCGAGAAGAGCAGTGCGCACCGCGGTACAGGAACTTATGTTTCCTGTACCCAGACGGACTGAAAGGAAGTGCTCACAGAGAGAGCACTTCCTGTCAGTCCGGCAGGATACAGGAGACTGAATATCCTGTACCGCGGTGCGCACTGCTCCACTCAGTCACGCTACTAGCGGCTGTCAGTGAGACAGCCACTAGAGGCTGGATTAACCCTCAATGAAACATAGCATTTTTTCTGAAACTGCTATGTTTTCAGTTGCAGGGTTAAAACTAGAGGGACCTGGCACCCAGACCACTTCATTGAGCTGAAATGGTCAGAGTGCCTTTAGTGGTTCTTTAATGTAGTGGTTCCGGTGTCTAAAGCCTGTACCTGCAGACTTTCCAATGTAAAGACTGCCTTTTCAGAGAAAAGGCAGTGCTTACATTGGTTCCTAGTGACCGTCACTCAGACGGTCACTAGAGGTGCTTCCTGTGTCAATGCTGCATAGTGTGCAGCACCTACATTCAGAGTCTTTACACTCTGCATGGAGGCGCTGAAAGTTTCCCATAGAGATGCATGGATTCAATGTATCTCTATTAGATGATGCTTATTGGTGCAGCGTTTTGCAGCCAATCCTATGGCAAAACATTGGATTGGCTGAGATCGTCAAGCTTGATAATCTCAGTCATAGAGGCAGAGCCAGTCGAGGGGAGACCAGCATGGCGTAAGGGGGGGAAAAAAGGTGAGTAAAAACACCATTCCCTTGCGAAAGGACAAGTCTGGTCACCTAAACACACACACCATGATACAGACAGACACACAGCATGACGGACACACACACACACCATGACAGACCCATACACTCATACATTATTGCTTGATTTAATACCTGGGGTCCAGTGGGCAGCAAGATGGGGGATTATGAAGGGGGGCGGCATGCTGGATGGTCATGGAGGCGGGCAGTTAACTGCGTGAATAGAAGGATGGGGACAGGACAGCTGTGGTGTCCCTGCTCTGCATCTCCATGCACTGGTTATATCCCGGCTCCAGTCTCATTAAGAGGCACCCGGGGGAGCAGAGCAGGTCCCTTGCTGGTCTCCTATTTGTGCAGCCACCTCCATGACCCCCAAGCCGCTCACCAGCCTCGGAGGTAAGGGGCTCGCCCAACCCAGGCGCCAAGGCAAAATTCCTAGGGTTTGTCGAGCCCTGCCTTATCAGGCTGGAGGCACATGTAGAGCTAGTGCATGTTCCAACCAATTAGAATAGGCGATCAGACAGTCACATTGCCTCACTGACATTACAGGCAAAAAAAGAGCTTTCTTTTTGGATTACCATTTACGAAGGCCCTTACTAAAAGATTCATTAAACAAACCAGAGTATTTGTGGTGTTTATTCTGCTCAATTGCAAACACATATTTTGGGTACGGCTTAATTATTAGAAAACCATTCATGTTCTCTTCAAGTCTTTCTAAATGTTGAATTTGCACAGTTTTTATGGTAACTTCTCTTCAGCCGAATTTAACCATATGAAACTTGATTTGTGATAAGTTAAACATTGTTTACACCTTATCAATTAGTATCAATATGCATTGTAAATTCCCAAATACTGTACTCATGAAATGGTCAAGCGTGGTCTCTATACCTACATACAAGTCATATAAATTGTGCTTACATAACCCCGGTTGTGATACACTTTAGCAATAGTGATTTCTCTGTTTCAGTTGCATAAGTTTTACAAAAGACAAAAATTTGAACACTCCCCCCTCACTAGACAATTTTTTTATTTTTTTTTAATGATCAAACCCCTAAAATGAACAAAAATTATTTGGCGATTATTGGAGAGATATTATACATCAATTTTCTTTCAGAAAAAAAATTCTTGTAGGTTTTATTGAATTGCATCATTGATCTGCTAATGCCGGTCCCAAAAAACTCAAATTTCAGAATGGTATCTGGCAAAGCAGATTACAAAGCTGGAAAATATTGCTGGAAAATAACCTCTTTCTTGAGGTCATACAAACTCCATGTGTGAATATCCTAAGGCAAACAAGCGGTCATATGAGCCAACTAGTGCTAATGAGTTAACCACAAGTACATTTTGAGGACCAGACGTAGGCAAATGCTTTTTTTTTTTTTTTTTTTTACTTTATTTATTGTCACACCACTGACATGCCATTCGTCCTTTAGGGATTAATCATGACTTCAGAAGAATGACAGACCACAATAGAATTCATGCAGCTCATGGACAGCAATAATGAATGAATAGATATTAGAGACCACAAACTCGGGACCATGACAAAATGGATAAACTGCGGGTGTCATCCAAGGATATAGACAAAAAGAAGATGCATATTACGATGGTAAAAACAAATGCAGGCGATTTCCCATGCTTGTTTAACTGAAAAATGTATCCCCTTCCTCCCCAAAAACACAAAACAACAAAGGTGGCTGTGATGACATTGTCTTAGTGTCGTGCGTGGGAGCCTTAAGGCGCAGAAAATTATACAATTCAACCATTCTATATAAACTATTTATTTTGCGGTTTCACCTTAAATGCATACTGTGTTCCATCTTCTGCTCCATAATTTTTTGCCCATATAAGATGTTCGCAAAGTAGCAATATGAGTCTTTCAAAGTGTTGTCCCTACCTATTTACATACTAACAATGCCAACTTGTGAATATCATTTATAAGACGCTGGACACCTTCCCTGCTGCTATCCACCTGATCTAAAAGAAAATGTGATGATTCATCAGATCAGACAACCTTCTTCCATTGCTTATTTGTCTAGGTCTGACACTCATGTCCCAATTGAAGGTGCTTTTGGCGGGGGCAGGGGTCAGCAAACAGTGATGCACTATGTGTTCTGACACCTTTCTATTACGGCCAACTTTACTGAAATTCAAACCCAGTCAAAAAGACATACTGAGAAAGTAGGGACTACTTTTTCTCAGTATTTTTCCTGACACTTCTTGGGCACTGGGTGGAGCTACCGCCAACAAGAAGTATAAATCTCTCAGCCGTCTCCAGTGACAGCTGCAGGGAAATTGGCCCTATTGATGAAGGATCCTGCAGTCTTGCAGGATACTCCATAGAACTCACTGATGTACTCTCACGAAAGCTCAAGAGTGCAGCAGGGATGCCGGTTCCTGGCCGGAAAAGGATGGCGGGAGCCGCGAGGCACAGGTTCAGGTAAGTAGAACCGATCTTTACCTGCCTCCCCCTGGCTACTGTACCCCCAGCAGTGATGTGTCAATGTGTCACTGTTGGGTGTCAGTGTTGCTTTAAGATTTTCAGCAATTTGAGCTACAGTAGCTCTTCTGTGTAAATGAACCAGACGGGCTAGCCTTCGCTCCCCACGTGCATCAATGAGCCCTGGGTGCCTATGACATGGACACCGGTTCCCTGGTTGTTCTTCTTTGCATCACTTTTGTTAGGTACTAACCACTGCATACTTGCCATTTTGGAATTGCTCTGACCCAGCCATCTAGCCATCACGATTTGGCCTTTGTCAAAGTCATGCAGATCTTTTCGCCTGCCAATTTTTTCTGGTTCCAACACATAAAATTCAAGATCTGCCTGTTCACTGATTTCCCAATATATCCCACCCCTTGAGGAGCCTAGTGTATCAGTGGGGCCTCCAGTAACCTGGACTAAAAGAACACTATATTGTTTGGAATACAAATATGCATTTCTAACACTATAGTGCCTTAGTCCCGGTTTAGGTGACTAGGCTAGGCCTGCCAGAGTTTTTAATAATATATATATATATATATATATATATATATAAAAAAAAAAAAAAAAGTTTACCTTTTTCCCTTCGAGGTGCCTTGAGATGAACTGGTCTGGGGGCCTTTAAAAGGAACGCTCAAGCATTAATACAAATCTATATTTTTTAACATTGGCGTTACTTTAGTTTAATTGCAGGTGGTGTAAACTAGTCAGATTCTGGGCAGGGATGGGCCAAATCAAAGCTATTTGCTAACAAAGGTATTCAAAACATCTAACATTTTTAATCTCTTTAACTGTGTTCAGATAACAGGGACACAATGCAGTTTTGCAACTGCAGATTGCATTTTTTATTTTAATTTTTTTAAGATTCATGTAATAAAATGGTAAACTGCTGTCACTTTGTCTCTTAGACTGAGAAAATCTAATTTAAAAATATGTGCACAGTCAAGATAAATCAGCCTGTCACAACTAGTTTTGTGACTTGAAATCCCATAAAACGAGAGCACCCACACATACAGAGTCACCAGAATTTTATTTTTTATAGATGAAGAATTATTATTGTATGTTTGGTGTTGTGAGATACCACAGAGTCACCTACATTTTCATGTGATCCCCTTCTGCAAATTAATTGTGCAGCACACGGGTGGAGTCTAGGAGTGACAAGTTATTTAAATATTTTTGAGTAAGTACGGCCATGTGATAAGAAAAATAAAATAAACAATGGAACTAACTTTTTTGCTATACATTTGTATAACCTAGTTCTAGTGTATGGATAAAATTAGAATTATCTTTTATTTTAGTGTTCACACACGCTTAGTTGTATCAGGAACAGAGAGGAACTTGCTTGTGATCTCCTTCCCCTATAAAAAAATTTCTGGAAGAGCCAATCGTTTTAAACGGCTAGTTACCACAATAACAACGGCATAGCAAGAAAAACGAAGTAGAGAAAATAAAAGGTGGACAAGGAAAAGGTCAATGCAAGAAAAGTGTAGACACCCATGATATTTCTGATCCTTTGAACCATCTGGTTTGGCTTTGGCTTTATACGTTAGGTTAAAATGGAAGATCATTGCAAACGTCTTGTTAATCTCGCTTTTTGTGCAATGCATACAAAGACATACACAGTGTAGCACGCAAGTATGTTGCAACAACCTAAAATGCAACACACCATTGAAAATGTGAGACTATTCTTAGAATTCCTCCATCAGATTTCAAGTTTGGGGCAGCAATTACCTTGGTAGTTTTCTATGGTTTAATTTTACACATGTGCACAAATTAATTACTGTTGCAACGGCTATACTTTTGTAACGGAAGAACGAAGAGAGCAGAGTCATAAAAAGGGAAACAGGCAGATGAGTAGGAGTGTCAAGGAAATGTGTGCATGGGGCGAAGGCTGAGATAAGGACGCCATCAGATAGCTGCTTTGGTTAGAAGATGCTAGTTAGAGCAGGGAACAATGCCAGAAACATTCAGATCTTGACTCTTTAGTTAATGACTCAGTATTTATTTTACTGTGATATATAAATATGAATATTAGTAATAACTCCCCTACGCCGTGTCAGGTGCTGCTTTCTCATCAGTGTATCCTCAAACCTCACACTAACAGGCATCCTGTCAACTTGTTTACCATTTTTAGGCCCTTTGAGTAATGGAAAATTATTTAATGTGTCTGATCTTGAACATTTTTTTATGGTGCCTTTATCCATGGAGTGTTACATTGTATAGCAATAATAATGTCATACATGCGCCATAATGAGTATTAGAATCGAGAGGCATCAGAAAATTACACACGGATGAAGAGTAGACAGGCTATGGGAATGGGGGTTTAACATAATCATGAAGATAGGGAGGTTGGAAGAGCTGGGCTGAAGATAAACATATGTAAGAACTGAGCTATGGAGAGTCAATGCCGTTAGTGAACTGTCTTTTCATAACTTTGTGAAAGAGGTGGCTGATTGGATGTTGGTTGTAGAAGGAGGACAAGGTGAACTATAATAGGAACAAATGGTGAAGTAGATGAAGCAGAGAAGAGGACAAGAGGACTGCAGTAAACAAACAAAATGCATGATAGAACAGTGTGAGGGCCTCATTTGTGCTATGGGCACGAAGACCATCCGGGGAGTGCTTCATCAGTGCCCCCTGCATGGTCCTGAAGGCTGGGGACTGGTCAGATAGCTTATTAGTGGATGGGTCCACCCCTTTTCTAAATGAACTGGTCAATTATGGGCATCACTAGTGAGGCAGCTCACATCACTGGTAATGCCCATTCAGGGCCCTGCCCACCACATACTGATTCTCCGTACAAAACATTTGGAAGATGTGACAATATGTGAAAAGGCTGGAAGGAGTACAACATTAATTAGGTGGTTAACATTGATATAGCTCATAGAGGTTGGATAGGATGTGACCTTTGAGAGCCAATGTTCTTCAATTTTCATTTGTCTTCTCATTTTAAATCACCCCCTTTTTAAAGGTTTACAAGTCACACAATTAATTTCCCCCTATCCACCCCTCCGCCCCCAGTTTAGTCCCATAATAACCCCATTAGCCACGCTCAAAACTCATATCCTTTTACAATTCCCTCCCCTTCTGTATACACTGCATTCTCATTTGACAGGGAGCTAGGTGGCTCCAACCCAAACATATTCTTGCATGCTTTGAGGCTTTTGATGCTAAATGCTCTCCGTAATGAGTGTATGATCTGGCCAAGAACAGCAAGCTGCCAAGAGTTCGAGACACAGGGAGTATGTATGTAGGTCTTTATCACTGGGTTACGTCCACTCCCGGCTGAGTGGCAGGGAGACTAGCATACAAGCAGAAGCAACAGGGAAATTAAGTGTGGGACCGGCAGCATGTAGCCTACCCGCCCTCACTCTGTTGCTTTATAGGGTGAGGCTTGTGCCTGTTGGCCCTGACAAAGTTAACTAGGCAGCCTTCTGTCTAACCCAACCCCTACATGAAGACAACCTCCAAAGGATTGAGAAGGGAACCAGTATTTCTTTTAAGGATGTGTATGTATACCTGTCCGTATCTGTGTTTATCTGTATTGTGTGTCAAGAGGCATCTAGCAGATGTTAAGTTTGATTTTGGACTTATGCCTTAGGTGGTTTTTGACCCAAGCTTATCCAACAATATTAAATTGAGGCCTATGTAAATGAAACATTTTTTTACAAAAAAAATAAAAAAAATAAAACTGTCTGTATGCAAACCTTTAGATTAAAATGTTACCTTTAAGAGGAACTATCACTTCTCTGGAAATTACACAATTGAGCTACATCTATAACATAACGTGTGTTAATTTTTTCACATAACGTGTTTTCTTTTGAACTTGTCATTTGCCAAGTCTTTAATACATCACAATCCAGCCCAGGCACCAATTCCAAATGCAGATGGGAAATAACGTTGTGTCATTTCTTCTCCTCTCTGTATGCTGACTGCCAGGGGCAAAGGTCAGAGCTTATACAAAACGAACGATAGACAGCCAAGATAGAGGTGTCCGGTGGAAGATAAAAAGTTAGGGATTTCTACATGTAATTTTATTACCACAAACACATATTTGTCAAATTGACACTTCCTACTTAAACGTATTCACTTTAACAAAAGCCTACATGTTAGCGTTTGTCTGCTTAAAATGTAGCTCACAAATTATGGTGTTATTGTCCAACTAAATTTCATATGGACATTGCTGTGTTTTTCATGAGTAGAAAAAAAAAAAAAAACAACACATTTCAGGTATTTTGCATGTGTATTTTTATGTTATCTACTTTGCGAAGTAGGAGGAGTGTGGTTGGTGTTCACTGAAATATTTCGGTGTATTGGTAATTTGACAGCAAAATGTTAAAAGTAACAAAGGGCTTGATAAGTTTGCTTAGAATCTAGGAGCCAGCTAGAAAAGTTAGGAGCCAGAGAAATCTACGCCACAAATACAATTCTTAAAGGGACACTATAGTCACCAGAACCACTACAGCTTAATGTAGTTGTTCTGAAGTCTATAGCCCATCCCTGAATGCTTTTCAATGTAAACACTGACTTTTCAGACAAAAGGCAGTGTATGTAAACAATGTAATGCTGCCTAGTGACACCTCTAGCAACAATCACAGCCTCTAGAGGTTCTTCCTGGGTCAGTGCATCACACTGTGCAGTATCTACGTTAATGTTCCCTATAGGGATATGCATCTTTATGCAATGTTAAATTGGCGCACCTGTGCATGCGCAATAGTTTCCCAATGCTTTCCTATGGCAAAGCATTGGATTGGCTGATATCGTCAAGATTGATGATCTCAACCACGGAGGTGGGGCCAGCCGCGGCGTCACCAGCACGGCGTAGGAAAAATGGTAAGTAAAGACACCTTTCCCATGTGATTGGAGGGAACACACACTCATTGACCGACACGCACACACAGACACACTCACTCACAAAATTTTACTGTAAATCCACCCAGTCTCCCTATCTTTGGAAGACTGGAGTGGATAGGCTGCTGTCATCTCCCTACTCAGCTCGCGCACTGTTTAGTGAGTCGGGGGCCAGAGGAATGTCATAACCAGGCTCCACTACAAGGTGCGCAAGGGGGCAGAGCAGGGAGATTACAGCTCCCCCCCTCGCCACCGCATTAAGTCATCCATCTGCCCGCCTCCCTCAGCTCTCCATTAGCCACCTGGTCGCCCCCTCCATCCCTTGGTCAGCCACCCGCCTCCCTACCTTAGCTCTTAATGAGCCGGGCACCTCTCTCCCTCACTCATCCGCCTGCCTCAGCCCTCAGTTAGCTGACTAACCGCCTCTGCTCCCAGGCAGCCGGTCACCTCGGGAGCTGATCAGATTCATTTTTGTTGTATTTGTGCAATTTAGTTGCATCATCTGAGCACAGCTTTAAAACCATTTCAAAAGTAGGCTGCAGTTTTCTGCTTGAAGACTGGTAATTAAAGGAGCACTATAGGATCAGGAACACAAACATGTATGCATTTTAGGCAGCCATGACCCAGCCATCTGAAGAGTGGCCACTGAAGTTATCACTAGGCTGTAATGTAAACACTGCATTTTCTCTGAAAAGACAGTGTTTACAGCAAAAAGCCTAAAGGTAATGCTTCTACTCACCAGAACAAATTCAATAAGCTGTAGTTGTTCTGGTGACTATATAGTGTCCCTTTAACCTGAATTTTAGATATTATCTGCATAACTTTATGAAACTTGGAACATTAAAGCATATTTTTGTCACTTCTGGAGGCCAGGAGCTGCAAGAGTACAACACAGAGGTCTTTGGATGACCCCGGAAAACCTCACAACCATCACTGAATCCCCCAGCCGTCATTTATGACAGCAGCAAGCAATGGACAAAAGTTAATGGTAGAGCTCTGCCTTTTGTCAACCTCAGGCTTTTTCCGTAAGACAAAGTAATCACTACTTTGTCTTATGGTATCTTTGGAATTCTAATTCAGTCGTGATCAGTATTGTCACTGTTTTTTGTTTGTATGGTTTTTATTATTTTAGGAAGGGGAGATAGTGGGAACCAGAATGATACAATGTGAAAGGTAATAAAACCTTGGCTAGCCCTGACAGCAGTACCTGATGGGTGACTACAATAACTATCAGGCCAGGCTAAGCACAGATAGTTTGATTGTTATCTAAAATGTACACATTGAAAACATTCCAAGTGCCAAGTTCAACCAAGAATTAAACAGCATTTTAAAGACCTAATGCCCAGTTGGGATCATCACAACTATGTCAGAGATTGCTGTGTTTCTCGTACAGAGGTAATTTTCTGGGCATTTTTGCACAGGACTGCCCTTCTGTCCTAGTTTAAATATTCATGTGGAAACTGTTCTTCTAAAAAAAGTTAGAGACTTGTTATGACAAGTTATTCTATTAGGAGTAACATTGAGTTGGATTTTGGTAACCGATTTATCAACTTCCAAATCAGTTAAATAAGTGGGGTGTGTGATAAGAGATTTGTCCTGCTGGGGAAAAAAAATAAAATAAATTGCATAGGAATACAGATATGCCTAGACCAGTAGAAATCTTCTAATGAAGTTCATGTATGAATTGGCACCCATTTATCCCCAGTGATTAAAACCAACTGTCAGCTTAGATCTGCTAAAAATATAGTTTAAAATTATATTTTAGAATTATCGCTTACAACTATAAAAGTATAGATTTTAATGATCCTAATAAAAAAATAACAAAGTGTTTACTAAATTAAAGGCCCGCTGAGTGTGCTCCGGAACGGCGCATTCTCACCTCCGTCCCATGTGTCTGCTGTGTCCCCCGGCATTTAGTTTGACACCGGCTGCTACGAATCAAGGTCCTTACATGGCACCACCTGCACGGTTCAGTTAACTGACTCTAATGTGTGCGCTTCATCACACAGGCGTCGCGCACATTCTAGGGTCACATGACAACTACGGATCAATAACTGCCCTCCTGGGGCTAGATAAGCTTATTTTGGTTATTTATTTGTATCCGGTTGTGGTTTCTCTTGTGGTTATCCAATAGTCCGTTATATTATTGATTCTATTGTATTTTGACCCTGGCTTGTGCCTTGACTATTTTTCCTTGATATCTGACTAGACTTGGCGTTTAAATACTCTCCGTCTACCGGACCTACGCCTATTCTGTACTATTCTATTTATTAGCATTACATCCATGCCGTCTAAGGTCCAGTAATATACTTTAATAGTCATATTTATTTCTTATCTGAAGTTCTGCATGTTGGATAGTCGCTAAATCCCGACACGAAAAGTATTTAACACTAACCTCTACAACACTTCCCTTCCCTCTAACAAAGCCAAGTTCCAACATCGACATTTGTCTTTATATTCTTGCATAACATGTAACTAGGGAAAAAAGTGCTATATTTAAAAATAAATAAAATAAGAATTAACACAGCCCATAGCCGACTCATTGACAGCTGTGATACATTCTCCCCCCCCCCCCTTTTTATTTAAATACAGAACTCAAATATTTACTCTGTCACCTAATGGCAGAGAATCGGGATCTAAAAAGAAAGCGTCCATTCATACTTTATGTATGACATTTATAAAAATGTACAATTACAGTGAACTAATTATTGGTCAGTAACTATTCAAAAGTAGCCTTTTAACAAAAATCCCCATGTTATTTATACACCTGGTGCAAAAAAAAAAAAAAAAAATATACAACCCAAAACAATCTTTACAAAGAACTTTAAAATAATAATAATAATAATAAAAAATTCACTTTAATTTGGCACTTCGGAAAACAGAGATCTTACGCAACATCATTACAACATTACAGATTGTTCATTGTTTAGGTTATCAGCCTTTTCAGACTTATACAAGTTCAGAAAGTTTAAGACAACAAAATAAAAAATACTGTTAATTTCACAGAGTATTAATTTACACACACAAAAAAAAAAACACAACAACATACAATTTGTATTTTATTTCAGTTTTGTGCTGTTTAAAAATACAACCTTCTGTATGTACAAATTTTACAGGTTCAGGTTGTGCTATTCAGGCGACCTAAATAGGCAAAGACCATCAATAACTTCTCACTCATGATCCCTTTTGAATGTAGGATGCTAGTGAAGATTTATATTAATTGGGAATACACTGCTAAATAAAGAGGTTCTTGGTAGATGTCATCAACCCACGAAGAACAAGCAAACTGCTCCTACCCATTTTTGGTGGTTTACTGCCTACGCCTCACAAAATAAATTTCTGCCCAGGTTCCCTGTGGGTTTTTCTTCATTAGCACAAGTATGTACGTAGACTTCGTTTGATAAATGATTGCAGTAACGGGCACGCTAATCCTGGTCTCACCGAAAGAAACCTCTGATAATGGTCAGCGGTAACTCTTTAGCACTTAGCTTGGTTAATCCTCTGGTGGGTGTAGCCAAGACTAGTGCTTTTTAGCTCAATAACACAATGCTCTAATATTAAGGTTTCTGGATGTCCCGCTGTCTTCATGGGTCCTTAGGCCTAGTATGTTGACTATCCCACTTCCAACTAGATGACTTAGAGGGAAATCAAAAGGAACACCTGCAACTCATCAATGTTCTGGGGGTATTTAAATAAATAGTGGAGCAGTATTTTCAAAGGCACACAGATTTAAACAGGAAGCTCTAGTATATATTTATAGTTTAGTACCAGACACATAATTCATGACACTGGTACTAAACTGAGTAAGTAGACCACAAAGAAGCCATCTAACACGTTTTCCAGTTTTGTAATGACTCCAAGTTCCAATAACTTCATAGATATATACTTTTAAATCAGCTGCAAATTTTCAGTATTTCACGAGGAAATAAACACTATGACGTTTTTAAGTAGTTGCCTTCTTGTCCATCACACAAGTAGTGTTACAGAAGATTCCGTGGCCTCACTCAAACCACTGTATTTTACTCAAATGCATAAGCAAGAGTGCAACCGTGATGAAAGCTCTTGATTGATGGATGAAGTACAAGGAAGAGCTTTGGTAAAAGAACACTAAAGTATCAGGAATACAAACAAGTATTCCTGACACTATAGTGATAAACTAACTATTTAGGATCTCAACAAATCCAATGCTTTCACATAGGAAAACATTGGGAGGCTATTGCGCATGCATCTCTATAGGGACTGTTCAGCGCATCCATGCAGTAACTGTCACTAGAGGTGTTACTAGGCAGCAACGTAAACACGACCCTTTCTCTGTAAAGGCAGTGTTTACAGTGATCAGCCTGCAGCCATGCTAGAGACACCAGAACCGCTACATTAAGCTGTAGTGGCTCTGGTGACTATAGTGTCCCTTTAATTATAACTCCAATTCGCTTCCCAATCTGTTGCAAACAGGCATGTCAAATTCAGAGTCTTAGAACAATATGTAAAGATTCTAAAAGGGACAGACACTTTACATTTTGAGATGTCACACGGCAAGTCTGCGGTTACACCTATTTGAAGTTCTCTGACCCTCTTCTTTCTACTTCAATAGACACTTTAAGGTCATCTGGCCATAGAGATTTTGTGGATGGACATTCCCACCACACTAAATGCTGGTTGGCGCAGCACGGCTATGGCTATAAGCGAACTAGAATCCCAATGCTTTCCTATGGAGAAGCATTGGATTGGCTGAGATCATCGATCAAGATCAGCACCGTGAGTGAAATAAGGTGAGAAAATGCCTTATCTAACTTTATAAAGGGGGGCTTATAATCTAAATAATTAGTGTAACATTCTAGCTTTAATACATTTGTATTCCTAACGCAACTATATCTTTAAAAACGCTAAGATTTTAATTTATTTTATTTACTTTAGTAGTGCAAATTTATTTTGCAGAGAAAAAAAAAAAAACACAAACATTGAAGTAAAACTTGTGACAATGACGAGTCTACTTTAGAGAGTATCATCATGGGTACACTAAAATATGCTCTTTTGAAAGAGCATAACAATTATTTTATACATTGCAAACTATTCAGGAAAATGTATAGTTTTCCCTATTAAAAAAAAAAAAAAAAAAAAAATTCTTTAGCAATATGACCCTCACCTCACTGGTCGATATAAAGATCAAATTCTCCAGGGGAGGAAGGAGATAGATGGGAGCAAGGGGTAAAATTAGTGTAACAGCCACATGTCCTGAATCAAGGTAAGTAGTTATTGTAGTTCAGAATTACCATGACTACGATAAATGATCTATTCATTTTCTATGGCAAAATGTAATTTTTTTTCAGATAATCCAAAAATGAAACATCCAAATAATATCAGCAGAAATAAAAGTTCTGGGCAAAAACTGCAGAGCCTGACCACTAAAATGTATTGCACCATAACCACTACATACAGTGGTAAGGCATATGGAGAACAGAGTTTCTCTTTAACGACAACTTAGAAACATAAAATGTGACAGCAGATAAGAACCATTCGGCCCATCTAGTCTGCCCAATTTTCTATATACTTTCATTAGTCCCTGGCCTTATCTTATAGCTAGGATAGACTTATGCCTGTCCCACGCATGCTTAAACTCTTTCACCGTGTTAACCTTCCAGCTGAAGTGGTAGAGGTTAACATTCTACTTCCAAATGATTAGAATTCAGGCTTGTATTCATATTTGACTTTAGTTTAATTTGTTTTTCTGGTCACATTTTTGGAACAGACACAGAAAATCCCCTGTGCCCAATGATTTAAGTTTAGAATAATGTAAAATATTTTGTGGTCTGTTACTCCCTCCCGTAACCGGTTTGTGTTATTTCTCGGGTAAATGTCTGGAGATCTCATTTAAGAATTACACAGTTCTGCAAGACGATTTCTCAGAAGCCACAGTTTCTGTGTAAGTGTTCTAGTAAAGAATGAAATATGAAAATGTGGTTCTTTTTATAAAGTAGACTAGAAGAATGCAAGTAGTATATATTTTACTCTAAATAGAACCTACAAATTGATAAATATTTGCAAAATTTTCTAGTAGCAGTAGTTTTATTCATATAAAAACTTGTGTCAGCAGTTTAAAGTTACCACCAGTCCCACAACGCTTTCAAAATACTATGTTACATTCTAAATCCTACGGTTTACAGCTCCGTATATTTAAAGGGACGCTATAGTCACCAGAACAATTATAGCTTATTGCAATGTTTTTGTTGAGTAGAAACATTTCCTTCAGGCTTTTTGCAGTAAACATTGTCTTTTCAGAGAAAATGCAGTGTTTGCATTACAGCCTAGTGCTAACTTCACTGGCCACTCCTCAGAGGTGCTTCCTGGGGCAGTGCTGCACACAGTGTACAGTACTGCCATTCAGTGTCTCCACATTCTGCATGGAGACACTGAACTTTCCTCATGGGGATACATTGATTCAATTCATCTCTATGAGGAGATGCTGATTGGCCAGTGCTGTGTTTGGCTTGCCTCCTTGACAGTCTCAGCCAATCCTATGGGAAAGCATTGTGATTGGCTTGGAGAATCACTTCTGATTATGTCAGCCAAGCAAGCAGATTAGGGGCAGAAGCAGCAGAGTTGAATACAAGTAAGATTTTACTAGATTTAGATGAGTAAGAGGGGGCCAGATGGTGGTTTTAACACTATAGGGCAAGGAAAACATATAGTGTTCCTTTAATAACCCCATATTACTGTCCACACAGAATGAAATGGCCAATATATTCACCTCATCGGCAAGCCGTGATCATTTCTAAAAATGTGAAATTCTCTTTTCTTTACAACCCATGTGAACAACTTAGGACTTCCACATTTTATTGCGCTGCAATTTTCCTCCTGTTAAAAAAAATTGGGATATAATCACAAAATTAGGACTTGTGGAGACCTGATCAAGTAATTCAGGATACGTCACCTTCAAGGCGCTTCAAGTTGGACATTTCCACATTCCCACTTTTCGGCTTAGGTCACTGAAGAGAGGAATCTTACTGAGCATTTTTTTTAAAATGGTTTAATTACTTACAATGGGGGAGGGGGTGCACAGCACACTGAAGTGGATATGATGCTTTCAGTATTCCTTTAATCTCCAGAATTTAGAGTATGGATATCATTACTATTCAGAACTGCTACTTTTGGGGTTTTTTGTGGATTGTTTTTTTTTATTGTAAATGTTTGTGAAATAATATGGCTATCATTTCTACACTTGCAGCAATACATATTCAACTAAGAATTGTTGATAAGGGAATTGTACAGTTTATGCAAAGCTTAGCTGGAAAATCAACTGAATTAAATAGCTAAGCTGGTCTAAATATTTCAGCTGCCTTGTCTATTCTCCACAATTGGTCTACTTAAAGCGGCATGGTCACTGTCTGGGGATCTTGCAAAGATCCCCAACAGTGGCATCACCACTGGGGATCCGGTGGACTGGGGCAGGCGTGTTATACTAATCTGAACCTGTCCCTCACACGTGCCGCCAACTTATTCCGGCAGACTTGCTTAAGCTCCTGTGCAAGAGTACAGCAGTGAGGTCTATGAAATCTCATGGGATCATCCATAGATAAAGCCATTATTAATGTGTTATTCTAGTGCTTTTTTTTTTAAATCATTACAAGAAGGGATGGATGGGCAAAAACAAATGTTAAATCACAAAAAAAACAAAAAAACAAAAACAAAAAAAAATAGCAAAAGTTAGAATAAAATAGCTTAACTATAATTACCGAAAAACGCTATTTTCTAGCTCACTCATTTTTAACAAAAACCTGCAAGTCCCATGTCAGTTCTCCACATTTTACAGCTTGGTGAATAAAACCCAAGTCAGTTGAAAAACCAATCAAGTTACATTTTGCAAGTTTTTACTGCCAATGTACAAGTGGCTGACTTGTGAATAAATTAACTCACAGCCCAATGACAATCAAAGCTTTTTGCGGATTGGCTGAAAAGACAGCACACATTAGGATCATGAAGAAGAATCAGAAAATGCAGATAAGAATAAACAAAATGGCAAGTATTCTAAAAGTGTCGATTTTCTTGAGCAATAAAAAGGTCCCGTAACCGTTACATACATTTGAACTGCTCAAGATGCTCTATTGAAATATTAAGGCCTAAGTGTCTGTTTAAATACTTTGCGCAGACTTTACAAAATGGTTCCAAAAACTCTTGCAGTTTATCTTTTTCGGACATAGTTAAAGGGACACAATAGTCACCTAGACCACTAAACCTCAATGAAGAACACTGGATGCAGTCGCCATGTCCTTTTCAACATGCAAGTTTTACAAAGTTCAATGGTGACATTGTAGGGTTAAATCCACCCCTAATGGCCATCACACTGACCGCCACTAGAGGAGCTTCCGCTGTACTAACCGAGAAACACAAAAGCCCATAGGAATGCATTCAATACTTGGGCACGTGCATTAGGTCCCCAATGCTCCTCTAGGAGGATCCTTGGATTGGATCGCCGAGGAAACCTTGCTTCCTCAATGACGTTGTAGGAGGTGGAAGAGGTGAGCAGGTACCTAAATACAGCTAGTGACAGGAGCACTATAGTGTTAGGAATAAAAAATCCTTTTGATTTAAGGATGCTTTCCGTTCATCTATTTTGGCAATTTTAAAATTGACTTTATTGAAGGTCATTGCGTTTTGAGTCTCACAGCTCTAGAAGTAAACACTATAGCTTGGGAACGTCATTAGACATTTTTTGCCACCTGTCATTAAACTTTGTGTACTATCAAACTACAATGATTAAATCAGTGATAAATATTCTCGATCCTGCAGCTAAACTGAGCTAAACTTCCCATGATGACCGAAAATTTAAAAAACAGTTCACAAAGCTCTGTAGTGCCAAGATTAAGTATATTTAGATTCCACTATTAGTTGGGTGGGTGACAGGTCCACTCTCAAAATCCCACGTGTGCATTTGTTCTCAATTTGAAGCATGAGCCTGAAGGGGTAGCTACGGCTTAGAGTTAAACCTATTTTAAGGACGAACATTCCCTAGTCATGTATAAAAAGTCACCTCATCTCAGCGCAAATTAGATTGCAAGTTCATTGGAGCGGACACATTTACAGGCACAGTATATTGTTAGAACAGTGATTTCTATACTTTAGATGAAAGGATATTCTATTTTTTTCATTTCAATTGCCATATTCGTTACCAAGTGCTGGTAGTTTTGTTTTCCTTTAGTGTAACAAATTAATTTCTGCATGGTGTTTGAAATCCAGAAAAACATTAGAAAAAAAAAAAGAAAATAAAAAGCATTACATACAAAAAAGTTCCACCATGTGAAATTTCGATGATTCTAAGCAAGCTTGATTTTGGTTTTACGGATATTACTACGAAAGTGAAGATTGGGTATTAAGGCAACATCAAAATTTTAAAGAAAAAGAAATAAAAGAAATTAGGTTTAATAATTTATTGTGCCACAGCACTTTCCACTTGGACCAAATAAGGAAAACCCTACTTTGACACATTTCAATGCCTCCCAGTAAACACTCCATTTTCAATAATAAATTACATATTTGGTAGAAATACTAGGACAAATTTTTTTGGGAGAAACCCTTCTCCCCCTTCTAAGTGCTTTCTATTTACGTTGGTTAAAAACAAAAACAAATAAAAATAAAACAAGTAAACAATGCCTTGAAAGATTGAAAAGTCAAAGAAAATTATCATAGTCTTAAAGGCCTTGCTTTTGTAATAGTCAAGATATTGTCTACTCCTGTAGAAGGCAGATTTTACATTTATAATGAAAAATAAACAAACATGAATATCCCCACAGAACATACACAGACCAATCCAGTGTTGAGAATTATTTTAACAAGGGGAGTCTCTTCCAACATTTTTAAACAAACTGCTTCATCCTCCACCTCTTCTTTTAAAGTTTTTTTGTCACCAGTCTCGCTTTTATAGCCACAGAACCAGTCAAAAAATGTGGAGCATTTGTTCTTGTCCTTGGCAATCCCCTCTTTTGGAGTTTGACCCATGAGAGCTGCTTGTCCATTGGAATAGCAATCCACCGGTGTCTCTGCTTCAGAGACACTTAATGGGCTCAGAGGGTTATTGTCATCTTTGTAAGTCATCAGAAGAGTAATGTCCTCCGTTTGGATATTTTTAATGTGGTCATCTGACTTCCCGTTGGGAATTACTTGTTTTATATCATTATCAGTGCAATGTACAATTGTTTTCTCTTGTTCCTTGTAGGATTCCTCTTTGTGGGTTACTTCTTTGACCGTTTTGTTTTTAAGTGCCCAAAATGTAGTGGTCCTAATTTGCTCTTTCTTTGGAGGGGATGTCAGGAGGCTAACAACAACAGCAATTATTCCAGTAATCCAGAACAATGCAGTGGCAATGTACATGTAGTGAATATTTTTAATGAAGCTTGGTCTGTTGTCTGGTTGATCGCACTCAGGGACGCGATAAACAAATGCCAAAATTAAACGTGAAACTCCCAGAACAAAACCCACCATTCCACCATAGAATGCTCCTTGCTCATTGCATCGTTTCCAAAATACACCCAAAAGAAACAAAGCAGCTACTGGAGGAGTCAGATAGTCGGCCACCTCTTGAATGTACAGGTACATTTGCCCTCCTTGCATTTCTATAATGATTGGCACCCAAGCAATGCTGATAACTACCATAAAAGCCACAAAAACCCTCCCAACCAGCATGAGTTCTCGAGAAGTTGCAGTCTTTCGCATAAATTTGTATATATCAAGTGTAAAGATGGTACTTGCGCTGTTGAATATGGAGTCTAAATCACTCATCAGTGCTGCAATCATTACGGCCATCATCAGCCCTCGCAAACCAACAGGCAAGACTTTCATCACCAAACGTGGATAAGCAATGTTTGAGCAACCTGCTCTGCTCCCACAAACTTCCATACAGTGCTCTGGATTTATACATGCAATATCATCGACAAACAGTATTCTCGAAATCATCCCAGGAATGACTATTATGAACAATGGCAAGATCTTCAGGAAACCGGCCATGAGAGTTGCTCCTTTGGCATGTGATATGTTCTTTGCAGCCAACACCCTTTGCACAATGACTTGGTCGGCACACCAATACCACACAGAGGCAGGAGTCTGGCCCAGGATAAACCCGGGCCAAGGAACGTCTTCGTCGTTCGCTTCACGCAGCATCCTGAGGGAATCTGGCTTTGGTGAAACATGGCATGAGTTTGTACTGGTAAAGTTATGGGTCAGTAATATGGATGTAATGTTTGGGGTTGCCAACATGTATCTCCTTTTGACTTCCTCAAATCCACCAATTTGTACAAAGCTGATGATGGTTAGAGTAAGGGCTCCGATAATCATGAGCAAAGCTTGGAGAGTATCTGTATAAATAACAGCCACAAGTCCACCTGTGACAGTGAGGAGAGCGGTCATTCCAATGAGCAAAATCACAGACAAGTAAAGATTCCATCCAAGAGATTCTTGAATAAACAAGGCCCCAGAATATAAGTCCACTGAGAGTTTGGTAAAAATGTACAAAATTAAAGATAATACTGCAAAGTAGACTTGGATTCTATGTCCTCCAAAACGTCTTGACAAATACTCAGGCATAGTATATACTCCAGAGCGTATATATACTGGAATGAAGACCCATCCAAGGAGTTGCAAGAGCAACAAGGCATTTAACTCCCATGCACCCACTGCAAATCCACTTGCTGCTCCCGATCCGGACAGTCCAATAAAATGTTCGCTACCAATATTGCTTACAAATAGTGAGGCACCAACAGCAGCCCAGGTCATGGAGCGACCTGCCAGAAAGTATCCACTCACGGTACTTCTGTTTGATTTCCACATGGCAAAGAATCCAAAGCATAAAACCAGCACAAAGTACAATGCCACGATGGCAATATCCGCGGCTTCCAATGAAGCTCTCATGATTAGGGGATGTAGGGAGCTCAAGTTTTTATAATCCTTATAAAACCTCACGTCTTAGTATACAACAGTGTAAAGAGGCTTAAAGGGTTTTTGTTTTTTTCCTTTGGTTTGCTCGCTTGATGTCAGTCCCAGCTATATCCCGGTGCTTAGCATGCACTTTAAAAATGTAATATTTTACATCGACACACTCCAAGGCATTCGGCTTTTATTTATTTATTTTTTTATTTTTTTTAACCATGTAGTGCGGTCTATAGTAAGGGACCCTGCAAGGGAGCAAAAAACAAAAGACAAAAGATACAATTAGAGAAGGTATCCATGGCGAGGAGAATGACACTGGAAAACGCAACAACGTGGGTGGCAATCATACGCAGGGCTTGCTATCATTTAACAATACCTGGTAAGTTTATCGCGATATACATGGACCCCGCTTAATAAATAATAATACAACAAAAATATACACAATTGTGGACATTATTCATGTAAAAAAAACAAACACAAAAATTTTTTTTTTCAGAAGCTACATATCACTTTAAATCATAAAACGTTATGACATTGTAGTAACAGATTATATTACAGAATGCAATGGACATTTAAATGTTTTCCCCTGAATGACAAAGTGCAATGATTTTCACTGATCTGAAAGAACCCCAGTGTCTTTGCATAACTAGACAAGTACAGTAGTTTCATTAATGTTTTTTTTTTTTTTAAATGAATAATACCACAGGGACAGATTCATCACACTGTAAAACTCTCAACAGACAATTAAAAACAATGAGAGGACCATGATTGGCTGACACACAACAGCAACTTCCTGGTCTTCAATAACAAACCTTCAATAAAGGGAGTTACTTTTTATTATTAATGGTTTGCAATTCTTCTATAATGCATAAAAACAGAAGTGCAGCCTTGAGTGTCCCTTTAAAGCAGATTGGTAACTTGAACAAGTACGTAATCTGTCGTGCAACAATGCTGGCAGGCATTAATCTAAATACAGTTTTACATTTCCATCAAAACAATCCTACATTAATTCCCTACAGGTGATACATGGTCCAACTGTCCTAAATCAGCTTTCTGAAGATGACAGTGAACTTTAGGATGATTGGGATAACAGGAGTAAAAACACAAATGCCACAGCACAGCCGGACTTTGAAATGCAATAGAGTAAGGAGGGGTATGCAAAGCAGCACAATACAAACAGATCAGCCGAGACATTAAAACAGAACAGAATAGGAACATAAAGGTATGTGGACATCACATGAAAAAGAACATTAGCTCCTTCAATGCATACATACCTTTCTCAAACACCATGTGCAAATTAGTTCATACATCTAAACCTCCTTTGAATTTTATATTCTTAAATATTTAACCTCGTTGCATGTATACAGAATAGATATACAGCCATACACCCACACACCATTTCTCACCATCTTAAAAACTTGAAATAAATTGATTTGGTGTTCTGATCCATAACTCTATTATTCTGTGACTTGTCTGAGGATTTTTCCCAGGAACAATTTCAAATATCACCTGGGACTTTGGCCTTTAAGTTGACCCTTCCATCAATGCAGCATCCCTAGTCACCAACCAGCCTTAAAGGGAACATATAGTCCCGAAAATAAATTATTTTTTCGGGACTATAAATTGCCTTCTGTCCACCCTCAATTTGCTCAATACAATTAAGTTCAATAAAAACCTGCAGCCTCCAGACACTCCTCCAGTGATGTCAGCATCCAATCTCATATCAGCTGTGATCTCCTCCAATCAAATGATTACCAGACGATGATTCACTCAGATTGTTATCCATGTAAAGGAGGAGAGCAGCTTAATCCTAAACGCATCGGCTCCCTCCTCACGGTCCCTCCTCACGGTCACGTGAAGAGAGGGACAGTTCTCTCCACTCTTGTAGCCTAGCAAACGTTATGGCTTTTTTCATTTTATATATGGCAGCTGCTTTTATCAGCAGCCCCCCCAATGTAAAAGCATAAAAGCTCTACTATTATGTCAACTAACAGGATCTTAGACTTTATCTGCTAAAGGCAATCGCTAACAACACTTGTGCACCTGTGGTTTTTCCCTTCTCCACTAAACAAGGATATTGTGCTTTTGTCATGAAATAATAGGTTATGCATACTGACTTAAAAAATAAGTGTACATATTACTTTTACAGAATATAAATAAAGAAAATAAAAACACTGGTGGTCATTTGCAAATAACTTGATAATGATAGGTTAAACTGTGATAGTATGGACATAATCATTTTATACACAATGTTCAACATAGTATGGATATAACAGATACATTATTTACCACTTCTTACTTCGCACCACTTCTTACGTTAGAGCCAAGCTCTATGGTGGTTCCCAAACCAGTCTTCATTCACACCAATAGTTGAGGATGTATCTATTTCCAATTCTGTTCCAATCAAGATACTGAAAAGCCATAGACCATTGGTGCCTTGAAGACTGGAATGGCAGACCTGGAGATCATTTTCCACCATTGTAGACTGGTATATTTGGGGGTGAAATGCATCGCATAATTAACAGAGCTATATGTAACTATATCAGACTTTGTAATTCCAGTTATTTGTCAAATATGTCACCTGTATCACAGCAACATTGAAAGAAAAAAAAAGAAAAAAAAAAAAAAAAAAGGAGTATGTGAAATGGGTGCATGTGTACCTGGAGGTTTTCACAACACATTTTATAGATCATGTTTTAGATTGTGGCATTGAACCTATGGCAAAAAAAAATCTATGCCAGCCACATAAGTCATTGTGCCATATATTGTCGTTATGTCTTGCCACCCCAGATAACAGGGTAATTAATTAATTAGATTATATATATATATATATATATATATATATATATATATCTTTTTCTAATATAAAATATTGGTCCTTTCAGAGTAAAAACGTTTACTTATATAGTAAGCATACTCACATGCAGACACAGACAGACAATCTCACTGATATACATAAGCTCATTGACATAAAAACAAAAGCTCACTCACTAGCAGGCACACACACACACACACACACACACACACACACACGTAGTGGTTCTGGTGTCTATAGCCTGTCCCTGCAGGCTTTTCAATGTAAACAGGCAGTGTTTACATTGCTTCCTAGTGACACCGCTAATGACAGTCACTAGAGGTGCTTCCTGTGTCAGTGCTGCACAATGTGCAGCACCTACATTTAGGGCCTCCACGCTCTGGAGGCGCTGAACGTTCCCCATACAGATAAATTGATTCAATGCATCTCTATGAGGAGATGCTGATTGGTGTAGCGTTTTGCAGCCAATCCTATGGAAAAGCATTGGATTGGCTGAGATCATCAAGCCATCATCATCAGTTGAGGGGAGACCAGCACGGCGTAAAAAAAAATAAAAAATAAAAAAATATAGCGAGTAAAAACACACACACACACACACACACATTATTGCTACCTGCGGGCGACCGGTCAGGGGGTCAGGGCAGACAGCTGAGTGTGCTGGAGGCCGCAGGGAGAGACAGAGACAGCACAGCTCCCCCTTCGGCCGCCAGCACACCCAGCTGTCAGCCCGGCCCCAGGTGCCCACGGCCCACCAGGAAATTTCCCGGTATCCCGGTGGACCATTCCAGCCCAGCGCAACAGTACAGCATAGAAACATAGAATGTGATGGCAGATAAAAACCATTCGGCCCATCAAGTCTGCCCAATATTTGAAATACTTTTAATTAGTTTCTGGCCTTATCTTATAGCTAAGATAGCCTTATGCCTATCCCACGCATGCTTAAACTCCTCCACTGTGTTAACCTCTACCACTTCAGCTGGAAGCCTATTCCATGCATCCACTACCCTCTCAGTAAAGTAATACTTCCTGATATTATTTTTAAACCTTTGCCCCTCTAATTTAAGACTATGTCCTCTTGTTGTGGTAGCTTTTCTTCTTTTAAATATAGTCTCCTCCTTTACTGTGTTGATTCTCTTTATGTACTTAAATGTTTCTATCATATTCCCCCGTCTCGTCTTTCCTCCAAGCTATACATGTTAAGATCCTTTAACCTTTCCTGGTAAGTTTTGTCCTGCAATCCATGAACCAGTTTAGTAGCCCTTCTCTGAACCCTCTCTAAGGTATCAATATCCTTCTGAAGATACGGTCTCCAGTACTGCGTACAATACTCCAAGTGAGGTCTCACCAGTGTTCTGTACAATGGCATGAGCACTTCCCTCTTTCTACTGCTAATACCTCTCCCTATACTACCAAGCATTCTGCTAGCATTGCCTGCTGCTCTATTACATTAAGGTTTATGGAGAATCCAACCACAGACAAAGCCAATTCCCTGCAGCCGTCACTGGTGCTACTGTCAGGATTGACTGCAGCTCTGCACCGAGTCTAAGAAAGTCAGGTGGAGGAGAAACACAAAGACAAAAGCAGTCCCTACTTAGTCTCTGTATTTCTCTTGCCTGGGTTGGAATTTCAGTGAAATTTCAACACAGTCATAATGAGTATTTAATATTTCTATCTTTATGAAATACTCATTTTCCAGAGGGGGGGGTGAAAGTGCTGCTTTAAGCGAAAGATGTTCTGGTGCTTTGACTGTGCCTTTAAATAAATATGCAAACATTTCCTATTCTGAGGGTGCTAATTCAGAAGCAATTACCATGGAACTCAATAGAATTTCTCCATTGGACAATTTGCCCAGAATAGCACGTTTTTCCTTTAAATCATTTTAAAAAAAAGAGAACTAGCTGCCCTTAAATAGGCTTCTGTGGGGTGCACGTGTCTGGACCCAGATATAGCTTATTGGACTCACTGGATCAGTGTATTGTCCAGACTCCCATTAGCCTAATTTCATGTTGTATAACATTTGGATTTTATATAACCCGTAAGGAGCTTGTTTCTCACAATGTAAGAAAGATCTACAGACTAGCCAAGTGAAAGCATTCACTGATAAAAGTTCTCGTTCAGTCGTAAGGAATGCTCGAAAATCTGCAAAATAAAAACTTTTTTTTTTTTTTTTTTTAAAAGCCCTGTAATCTGTACTTACTAAGTAAGTCCTCTTTTCAACATTTTATTAAGAAAGCAAATGAAAAATAAAATGTACACAAAGAAAGGATTAGGTGTTACTCCTGCAGAGGTAAATTATTGGAAAACAGGAGCCAATATTTTATTAGATTTTACCTCCCAGGAAGTAAATGGGGGCGTCCTGCCAGACTGAGGACATGGCTTTTTAAGAACAATCACTAAGTTTGTACAGTGGCAGAAAATGGCAGAAATTGTGGGCAACCAACAAACAAAGAACAGCTGTTAGGGTTATTTTTATATTACTTTAACCTCTGTAGTCCTGGGCACACAGGCACCCTAACAGCACACGCATGGTACTATGGAAGGAGGGACTGAATGTACATGCACATCTATGGCATTTTTCATGCAGACGACCGAGTCCGCATTATTACTTAACAATAACATTGCCCTCACCTGGAGACCCAGCATAACTTGTTGTGAAGAGGTTAATACTGTGGAACATGGCTAAGCCAATAGTGAGATACTTTCTATCTAACTCTAAACAGTAGTCCCATTGACAGTTTCAGATGGAACTGCCGAGTACCCAATAAAATATCACAGTATTGGCGGGTACGTCTCAGATGTCTGAATTTAGACAAAGCCCAATACAACAAATAGCGGAAGTTCACAAGTTGATTTTATACACATACACACGTGTGGTACAGAAAGATATGCTGTGGGTTTTGCTTTTTTAAATAATAAAGTTACCTTTTTTCCATAAATTCACCATTTGCCTGCAATGTCTCTACGAATAAAGCCTTTTTCTGGGGAAAATTACAAAAACTTGACTGTGCCACCTTTTGTCATGCATAGGAATATACTAGCAGTCCCTACTTATGATATCTTATGATATCTTTCAACCGTGTTGGAATTTCAGTGAAATTTTAACCCAGCCAATGTGAGTATTTGATAAAGATAAAATCTTTATGAAATACTTTTACAATACAATTTTCCCAAGTTTTATAAAAATGGTGTGATAAATCCACACATCCAGGGCTAAACTCCACGTCGGCAGCCTTCTCCCTCACCAGGAAAAGGCTCCACCAATATGGAGCCATTCATTCTAGACTAGGGAGCTGATCTCAAACTGCTGAGGTTTTTCGGGAATTCATATTTTATTCCTCAGTCCCACATGATGAGTGGAACCTTTTTGCAAAGCTGATAGCAGTATTTGTCTCTGAGTCTGACCCCAGCCTGCTGCATTAGAAAAGGGGCAAAAAGATACCTGGGGATCCCCTCTGTCGGTTGGGCCCACATTTATTGGCCACAGACTGACGAGGTCAAAAATGAGTGCTGCACGTGTCTCTTTAAATTCATTTAAAGAGACACTCCAGACCCATAAATCACTTTAGCTTGCTAAAAAACTTTGTGATGACTATGTACTCTTTTTTCATTTTGCAAATCGTGCATATTTCTATAGAAATGTACACTTTTATAAATTAACCCCCCTGGTTTTCAAGCAGACAACATGCCCTGTTACTTTCTGGTTTGGTCAGCTCAGTGGAACTAAACTCAAGAGGCAGCAAATGCCCAGAGTATCTGCCTTGCAAAGACTTGTCATTGAGCTGCATTGGGAAGTCTGTTATTGGACAGCCACAGACAGTCTGGGCGGGGTTAGAAGGGGAGGGCTTGCAAAGGCTGCAGACAAGAGATCTGCATGTTTTGCAAGCTGGTTTTAGAAATTTAAATGTATACATGTTTTCATTGGGGATAAATCTACTGATCAATGATTTTTAATTTATGTCTCATTTGGGCACTGGAGTGTCCCTTTATCCATTGTCACTCCCTATTGTGAGGGACTACCCAAGGGTCTGAAAAGACCCTGGAAAGATCTTCCTACTTGTCCCTGCTCCTGGATTGGTACTGGGCTTTGCCAGCTGCCCAGCACCAATCCCTGTGTAGAGGAGCTGCAGTATGAGAGGGAGCTCTTCCTTACACGTTGCAGTCACACAGTGAGCTCTGTACTGTTTGAGCTGGGAAATCCCTCTGCTAATGTCAGTAGAGGGTATCAATCTGAGGTGTAATAAGGAGATGTTTTAGAGGAAGAATTACAGGTAGTATCAGAGAAAATGTATATACGTGGGCTATCATGTAAACTGTGAACAGTAGCAGAATACAAATATCTGATATCTTCGCATGCCAAGTTTTGCAAAGTTTTAGCTTTAAAACTGTAATTCACTTCTTGCAAGATTTGTTTTACAACTTCCATAAATTAACTAAAATCCTAGACATATGGGGAATAACGACAATCAGGGCTAATTAATGAAAATATTTTGAGTAGTTTTGTTTAGTTGCACTTGGTGTGTAGAAATTATTAAATGTAAAACTTGGAACAATGTGTTTATTTTTTTTTATGTTATTCCTATTTAACCCCTTAAGGACAACTTCTGGAATAAAACGGAATCATGACGGAATATTTCCAACATGTGTCCTTAAGATTGAGTTATGTATACATACAGGCTATCAAAATAAAGAATTTTATCTCCTTATATTTATATAAGAATATGTGTGGCTGCTCTTAACCCCTTAAGGATACATGACATGTCATGATTCCCTTTTACTCCAGAAGTTTGGTCCTTAAGGGGTTAAACAGAAAGGGTGAAATTGTGGTAGAATAAACAGCCATGGTTATAAATACGTTGCATCTAAAAAAAAAAAGAAAAAAAAAAAAAAGGACTTGATCCTTAAGAGGTTAATGAAATATAGAAGAATAAAAAGTAAATTAAAAGGACAAAGCATTAGGTATATTGCCCTCTCAAAAAGAACAAACACGTAATAACTCGAAAAAAGTCCCTATGTGTTATGATCAAGTCATACTTTGTTTAGGCCAGGAGTGAGTAATCGTACAGATCTCCAGGAGCTGTTAGATTTCAAATCATACCACTCTCAGCCAGCCGTTCACCATAAATAAAATGGCATTATCTTGTCTCTGTTGTTGCCTGTATTTTTATTTTTCAGTCTCTACAAGTCTTCAGTCTCCTCAAACACCAACACAAGACAAAATGCCACAGGGAATTATTAATTAAATAAATAAAAAAGGTTTAGGCTAATCTAGGCCTACATTTAGCAGTTTGGTCATCTATTCACCAATACAGTGTTCAGGGGAGGGGGGACTAATAATTAGTGTAGTAAATGTAAATATACTAAAGAGTAGCTCCGTTTTAGCCAAAATATTGCCAGTCAGTTAATAAGATGTTTTGCGAATAAAATCTATAAATGATCGCTGTAGATAGAGGGTGACTTGCTCAGCAATGATTATTACAGGCAAACATCTAATCTGAGACATTCTTAGACTCCTCTGCAAAAATCAATAATTCAGACCATGTGATCATCAGTAATCAACGTGGTTAGAATATTTTTAAACTACTCTGGGATAGTAAAGTTTTATGAGAAACAAACAGCTCCCAAGGTGGACTGGAACAGACAGAGAGGGGAAGGTACAGACTGTTTGATTGCAGTTATTTACATGCACTGTCTTCATTTTCCACCACACATTGTGTTTCTTTCCTACATACAATCACAACAGGAAGCAAGCACAGTAATGGAACACACTGTAACCAAAAAGAGTTACACAGAAGGATTGAGGGTTTTTCTGGTAAACCAAGGGTTAAACCTGCAGCACGCCTTTAACATGAAATGACTCCAAAACTTGGCACTTGCAGGCTCCATTCATTCTCAAACACCACAAGCAGAAATAAGCAGAACAGAAAGCATTTACATAGAACCAGAAAGATCTAAACGTGTGTGTGTATTTGCCATCCAGACAGATCTGATGACAGCTGCACAGTCACTAAAGGTCAGCTGAGATGTGTATCCATTCTGTGTGATACTCTGACATTCTAAGACAGAACGTGCAGAGTACAGAAACACAACAACCTGTTGTAGCTGTCACACAGGTGTAGCTTGACATTACGATACATAGTACATTTTTATATTATCTATATAGTACGCGTTAATAGGGAATCTCAAAAAAAAAAAAAAAAAATTGTGCTAAAAAATGTTTTTATTTAAAAAAAAAAAAATACTAATATACTATTACAGGAATTGATAGATGCCAAAAAACTACAACTCCACTAACAAAACACAGATGATGGGTATATATTTATGTTTTTGTGTACTCCCACATGTTGTGATGTGATGTGCGTACAAAGGCACTCATTGCATCCACACATCCAAAAATACAAACATCCAAACACACAGCTAACACGTTAAGAATAAATAAAAATAAAATAAAAAAGAAATACACTATAGACAAAGACAGACAACACAGGAGTGAAGCATGCATTGGAAGCTGGGAATTGGGACTGCGCAATATAGCCTAAATGCCAGCCTCACCACTGGCAGGGGGCTAACAATCACCCACTGGCAGCTGGCATCCCACTTACCTTTAGGGACCTCTAACAGACACCCTGTGGGTCTGGTCACCCTGTCCCTGTGTTAGGTAAGTGACCTTATATGTTCCAATCAGGAGGAAGCACGTTTTCTGTAAGAGAAGAGAAGGAAGCGGTGTGACAATGGCACTCACCCTCTGCATGGCCTTCAGGATCAGAGACAGCTCGTATCTGGGCATGTCCAGGGGGTTTTAGCAGCAAGGAGAGAAGCTTGGTCCCAGTCTGTCCAGGAGGTGCTGGCTCTGCCTAAACACGAGTGACTAAAATCCAGGGGCTCAGCTTAAAGGACGTATAGAGAGAGCTGGCAGACAGAGAGAGACCTGCCTTCTCCTCCTCCCCTTCCTCTGCAAGCCTGGCCCCCTCCATTACTGGAACTCAGCCTCTGTCCCTCTGAGTTTGGTGGAGATGTAGTCACTGTGTTTTATTCAAAACACCACAGAGTCAAGTCATGTTCTTATTTCACACACACACTGGGAGATGGGGAATGTGCTGCAAAGTTCGAAAAGTGAAACAGTTACCAGGGAAGCAAGGCAATCAATGGCAGTACTCTGGTTTCCATGGTGATTGCTCCTCTTGCCCAACACAATTTTTATATATATGGAGAGGGGGGCTTAAAAGTGTTCAGAAAAGTGTTTTGTTGGGGGATTTTTTTTTTTTTTTTATAGTTTTAATAATCTGCTTCAGTTTATTTATGTGTTTTTAAAGTAGTCTGAAAAGTATACATTTTCCTCTTTGAGTGTTTTAACAACTTTTTGTGTATTTACAATTATGCCCTATTAACCAAGAACACCGTGTGGATTTCCGGTTTGTTTTCTGCCTCGCTTTTGTTGCAAAAATAAAACAACTTAATATTAACTAATTGAATGTGTTATTCAGAGTGTAATGAAAAACAAAACATACTAAGAAGAAAAGGCTAAGAAGTAATGTATGGTGAAAAGAGACTAAAACACTGGTATTTACATAGGACTGGCCTCAAATGTGTGTGACGGGGTTCACACAGAAAGGGGGTACTGCCTGTACATCTCTCTACATTAAAGGACCACTATAGCGCCAGGAAAACATACTCGTTTTCCTGGCACTATAGTGCCCTGAGGGTGTCCCCACCCTCAGGGTCCCCCTCCCGCCAGGCTCTGGGGGGAGGAAGGGGTTAAACTTACCTCTTTCTCCAGCGCTGGGCGGGGAGCTCTCCGCCTCCTCTACGGCTGCATGCACATGCGCGGCAAGAGCCGCGTGCGCATTCAGCCAATCCATAGGAAAGCATTCTCAATGCTTTTCTATGGACACTGGGGTCATCTCACTGTGAAAATCCCAGTGAGAAGCGCAGAAGCCCTCTAGCGGCTGTCAATGAGACAGCCACTGGAGGCTGTATTAACCCTAATGTAAACATAGCAGTTTCTCTATGCTATGTTTACAGAAAAAAGTGTTAATCCTATCTAGGCCTGGCACCCAGACCACTTCATTAAGCTGAAGTGGTCTGGGTGCCTATAGTGGTCCTTTAAGTGACAATTAGTAATAATGAGTAGGTGAACACTGATGGGGATGTAAGTCCTAGGTTTTGCATAGTGCACATAAAGGCCTTAAAGGGATACTATACTGCCCAAATAAAAACAAAAAACAAATCACTGTTTAGTAGATTTACCACCAATGAAAACATGCATGCATTTAATTATGCTTTTTTCCCCCCATTGGTCTAATAACTAAAAACAGCTTGCAAAAGTTGAAGATCTCTTGCCTGAACCCTTTGCAAACCCTCCCTTAACACTACTGAGACTGGCTGTCCAATCCCAGACATCCCAAATGCTTTGCAAGGCAGTTGCTCTGGGCAATTACTGCCTCTTGAGTTTATTTCCACTGAGCTAAACAAACCAGGAGGTAACAGTAGTTACAGCCTTAGGGGTGTAACAAGGTTGATAAAAGTATAAAAGTGCTATTGAAATCTGCACTTTTTAAAAAATTAACAAAAGAGGACATACTTCACACCTATGAGCACCTTAGCAAGCTAAAGTGCTTTAGGGTTCTGGAGTGGTCCTTTAATTCACACACAAAAAAAATGATTATAGGATAACTTATAAAAAAAAAAAAAAAAAACTTTTTTTCCCCATAAATCTTCCCACAAATGTGACCAGTTTAAATATATCCCTGTTTATTGAAGCAGGCTATGTTAAGGTCTCACTCATGCGCGGTCCACAGCTCAGCTCGTTCTAAATATTATGTTTCAGATATATTTTATATTTTTTTCATGTAGTGGGAATAGTGACCCATTTTTTACCCAAGTGAGTCATTGTTAGTGTGTCTCTTAAATTCCCTCTCTCTCTCTCGCTCTCTCTCTCCTTGAACGGTCAAAATCTGAAATCAAGGAAATCATGAATGCCATTTGTGAAATACAAACAGACACATATTTGGTAACCACTCCTGAAACACCGTGCTTTAACCCTTACAATCTAGTACATATCCTGTACTGAGTACTAGGAGCTGCAAGTGTAACAATGACATAGCATGCTTATAAATTGTGCACAAATCAATATTTATTTTGACATTTGAGCTCAGTTTTTAGTATTTCTTTGGGGAGAGTGAGGACTCAATTTTGCCCAATGATACCAGCAATTCTCAAGGATTACAGCGTTTATATTCTTATCCCATGACATCGTGTGAATACCATATGATATCAAGCCAACACATTGAAATGCACAGTTGTTTACTGTGGGAAATAAAGTGAGTTATTAACTGTGGGAAATACTGAAAGCATTAAGATTGGCTGAGGATCATTTCAAACCAAAAAAAAAAAAAAAGATCCTGTAACTGTAAGGTAAATAATTAACCGTTTATTGCAGCTTTTTATAGCTCTAATTAGTGCACGCAGATCTCCGTATAACGCCTTTTATAAGAATGTAAGGCCTGCACGGTAGTAGCACAGTAGTCAGCTCAGTGCTCACATCTCGTTTAAACGACTAATAGACAATGTCCTGCATTGGCTCTTCCTTTATAGCAATGTGTGCAGTACTGAGAGCTAATCTAAGCATGTCCACCGGACATTTAACACAGTTTTTTAAGACCAGACTGGACATTGTTGTCGTGGATGGGTAGAGTGACCCGAGTGTTCCCGGGGCAGTTCCTCCGTCCATGTATCTTGGGTGGTGTATCATGCCAATGGGTCACCATTAGCTTAGTGTGGATATTGGGTTTTGGTATTCTTGTGCTGCCGGAGGGTGCAATCTCTCTGTTGCACCTCTTGCTATCACTCAGTGTAGCGGATACATATTCTGCATAGAGGTGGAATTGGGGTTGTTAGGGGTGGTGTGTGGGGGGGTTAGGGGGTGGAGTATGTTTGGCGTGGGAGAGGAGTTTGTAGGGCGTGGGATGGGGGGAAGCTGAAGGGTTGTTGCGTAGGGGGGGTGTAGGGTTTTTTCTGGTGGTCGCCTGTCCCCGGGCCCTCCTCTTATGTACTGAGCTGGTGGTCTAGGATCCAGAGATCCCAGATTTTGTGATAGTTATGTGTCATGTCGTGGATCAGGGCTGACAGTCCATCTCAATGGTTTCTGCAGATTTCTGGAGCATTACAAGAGTGTGTTACAGGTTACAGGACTCCTCCGGGCTGCTGTAATGTTAATTATAACTACAGTATATACTCGAGTATAAACCGTGTTTTTCAGCACATTTTTTATGCTGAAAAAGCCCCTCTCGGCTTCTACTCGAGCGAGGGTCTGTATTATGGCAACTTACATTGCCATAATACAGACCAGGACCGCCGGGCTCATGACAAGCCCGGCGGTCCTGGGGAGGGCCGGCAGCAAGCTGTTACTTACCTTCCCAGCAGCTCCCTTCATCTCCCTGTGTAAATCTCGCGAGTCCCGCGGCTGTCAGAGCGGCTCTGCGCAGCACGCAGACCTTGAGATTTACACAGGGAGATGACGGGAGCTGCTGGGAAGGTAAGTAACAGCTTGCTGCCAGCCCCTCCACTGCTCAATACATACCACTGGACCACCAGGGAATGCCATAGCCCCCCTCCCTGGCCAGGTAACAAGCAGGGAGGGGGGACAAAAATAAAAAGTTAAATAGATAATAGTAGTATATAATATAATAATATAAATGCAAATATTAAAAATGCCCTCCCCCCACCCAGTTTACACACACTACACAAACAAACACACTCACACACACACTCTGCATTATACACACACACTACACAAACACACACACACTCTGCATTCGTTATATACACACAAACACAAACACACACACACTGCATTCTTTATATACACACACTACACAAACACACACACTGCATTCATTATATACACACACTACACACACACACACTGCATTCATTATATACACAAACACACACATACACTGCATTCATTTTATATACACACTGTAAATAAATATTCAATTAATGTAATTTTATTGGGATCTAATTTTATTTAGAAATTTACTAGTAGCTGCTGCATTTCTCACCCTAGGCTTATACGCTAGTCAATACGTTTTCACAGTTTTTTGTGGTAAAATGAGGTTCCTTGGCTTATATTTGGGTCAGCTTATACTCGAGTCTATACGGTACTTATTGTAAAACTTAGAGCACATCTGTGTCTCTCTCCTTGACCCGCTACGGCACCATCTATGGGTGAAATGGCCGGGCATTCGATATACAGAAGGGCTCAAAGAGGGTTAAGCTTATAGCAACATTATTGATATTCTAAAAAACAAAAAATAAACAAACAAAACAGTCAGAAATTTGCTGCTCAGCTAGTGCAACAATCCCCCCCAAAAATGCCAATTTTCAATTTAGCTTTGGATTTAGGCTTCTTCAGCACTTCTTGAAAACAATTTCAATTTTAATTCTTGAACTTTTGGATATTTTTTCACACAAATATATACAGGGTTGCCCAAAAGTAGGTTGAATCAATGAAATTCATCACAACATATTATATGGGTACACATACACACTGACACACAACAAAGTGGCTGTTCAATTTCAGGCATTCGTGTATCATTGTGGCAGTTAAAAAGAAGTGAAATGTTGCAACGTTGATGATAGACATATGCAAATAAACTGTACTGTATACTTTTGGGCCACCGTGTAGTTCTGTTTTCTCAAGAACAAGTATAACGGGAAGCATGTTAAAAAGGAATATGATATGCATCGTGGGAAGAATGCATGAGAGGTTTAAAACTCTTTGTATGTACGGAGTCTGCATTTGTACACATTTGACAAAGAATTAGTGTGCATGCCTGTTGTGCTGCATGAATAATTTTTTTCATACTGCAGTCCCATCTTCCAATTGATTGTTCACACTGGCAGGAATAGGAAGGTAGTAGCTGTGTGACAACCTGTCTCTCAGTACCATAAACCAGCTCAGATGGTCAAGTCAGGAGGTCAGGTCGAGCCTTTCAATCTAGTTTATGTATGGGGG